GCGGTCAGCATTGTGACACGTGGAGGCTTGACTTGACTTATTTGTCTACCGTGTGAGGGAACGAAGAACGTACCATCATGAAGGACAAAAGGATTCCCGCAACGGCATATCCCAAGGCGACATGGTTGAAGAGGAGTATGCAAAAGATGACGAGGGCAGTCGACGCCGCTCCCATGCAGAGGCAGGCAGCCTGCCAGAAAAGCATGGCTGTGAAGCTGCGTCGGAGGCCTGTCATCGCGTAGAGTATTGGGAAGAAGAAGAGAACAGGACCCAACTTCATCGGCAGCACCTCGCACACCACCTTGGCCAGGAAATACATCGACGTGCAGTAGAATCCGCACGCACGTTCGTGTCTGAAGGCAAACAAACCACAACACTCTTTGCACATGCATTCGTGAGTAGATTGGAGGATGCTGATTGAGGAGCATACTTGAATCGAGCCTGGTCCCGAATAAAAATGTCCACGGCGTTGCCATTGAAGTAGGCCAACTCAAGGCAGACGAAGTAGAAGAGGCCGGTTCGATTTTGGATGCCCGCCTCACTTGAGAGATCCAATTGATAGTACACTGTTCCGAGGATGAGAGTGAAGATGGCCACTCCAATGAAGGGCACGGCGACTCCGTTAGGATTTCTAAACAAACGTGATGAGCAAATCAGGTGGCATGACATTGCTGTTCAACTTGACACGGCGTGACTGCAACGCACCTCAGTGTGTCGAGAAATCCACGGGAGGCGAGGACTCCGAACTGCTGATGCAGTGGTATCGGCTGGTACCACTTCTTGCCCCACTTCTCCACATCATAGTCTCCCCTCTCTCCACCCTCGTTTGGCGATTGCTCATCCCTTGTGCAGGTCACGAAAACGTCGTCAATGGATGTTGGATAGACTCTGGCAGTGTTCTGGATCTCTTCATCACACGACTGAGTCGCTTCCCTCTCTCCAGTCCTGAAATGCACAACTTCTTTTCAGTCCCACACCGCCACACGAGTTCTTGCAATCGCAGCATTGAAGGTGCGTTGGAATCGTGCATTTGAAGGGGCGCATCTCGTGGCAGTCAGTAGCATGCGGATGACAGAAACGTCAATATACAAACGATCATCGCAATTCGTTAATAGTGTGCGGATTACTCAGTCAACATTCTGATTACTGGTTTATTTGGATCATGGAACCTCGAGTGGTTTCCTGGGAGCAAAATTTGGGAGGAGGAGGAGGAGGAGGAGGAGGAGTTGGAAGAAGCAAGCAGACAGAAGCGATGTCAAGTGACCACGGAAAGACAAGCGACAGATTAACACCAGCACGTACTTGGGTTTGCTCGCGTTGATCATGAGTGGACTCAATTCAGCCTCGCTGCCGCTGATGCTGTGGAAGTGGGTGGAGGAGCATTCACGAGACATCTGCTTGGGTGGCTTTTGGAGACTACGCCACGTGAAGAAAATACCCCTCGCCTCGTTCATCCACCTTTCAAATAATACGTAGAGAGGAAGGAGTTGAGAATTTGGAATATTTCTCCGTCTTGTAAAGTTGTTGCAAGGATATTCAAAGTCTGAGAGACGTGATGGTAGTTCTGGTCCTACAGGCAGTCTGACACATTCTGCACTCTCGTCGCATGTGTGTGAAAGTAGCCGATTTGCCTACCTGACACCGATGTCACAAATACGTGACACATGTGCCTTCTCATATTATGAAAAGTGGTTGCATCTAGTCGTGGCCCGATCGAAAAACGGAGAAGGGACAGAAACCACACATTCGATGGTCTTTGAGGTGGGACTTGTGTGCCGTTAGCTTTGTGAATGATGGACACTTTTCACTCCGAACGCAATTATGTGAGTCAAAAATACGTCGATTGAGAAACACAATGTCGACAGGTAAAGCATGCGTAAGTTGAAAATAAAGTGGGTGACTTTACAACAACCAGCAACAGTCATCTGTTTACCTATCCTGCAGTGTGGAAGTTAAATCAGTCCAACATTGCCCTTTCCCGATCCTGACGCCCTGTGATCGCAAGGGTAAACAGCCACTGCGGCGCCAAGTTGGCAACACTCCTCTCTTTCCATACTGCATGCAAGCTGGCGCCGAGGTGTCAAGACGGTTGGAAAGAAAAAGTGAAACACTAATTCCACCATCCGCATGATTAGTGGAGGCAATCAGACGCCATGCCGCAAAGGAATTAACAGTGCCTTCCTACTTCAAGATTGACTTCATTTAGAACACTTCGAAATGGATACGCAACCTCAAGGGGTAAAAGATGGGAATCTGAGAGGAGGGGATGAATTCGGTGCATCTAATAGCAGGTAACGTGAGCCCCTAACGACGCCTTCATTGTGGCCTCGTGTTTGTTCGTTGCTCAAAAAAGCAAATGTTCAGCCAGTGATCGACTTAGGTGGGATAATGTTACTTTTTCATATTTTCATTGTCCTGCACTCACCTACCACGCAACGGATTGTCATGATCATTTCTATCGCCATCTCAGTCATATCTCACTGTTTTCACGCTTCTCTGCAAGACAAATCCTCACGGATGGAATGGACATCATTCCAACTTCCACCAACTACTCGCCATCCATTAGCTGATGCTCACACTAATGCTGACGCCAGGCTCTGTTTACTTTGAAGTGCAGTGGAAATCGGGAGAGAGCTGTCAAGGGTCTGGTAATTATGTGGGGCGGTGTCAACAATTTCACAAGTGGCAATTTTATGCCCCACCCTCAAGCACTGACACCTTTGATGATTAAACAGCCACCATGAAGTGCTAACCTCGCAACTGTTACCTCGCTATGGCTGCCTTTCGACTCCAATCCACTCAAAGACGACTGCAACGGTGAGGTTCAGCCTCCTGTCAAGTAAACATGCCTAAGACAACTGCCCTGTGCTTCCAACACACACGCATACACACACATACACACAATGACGGTCGCTTTCACTCCATAGTGCCAACCACTCTGCTACATCTGCCTGCCAAATTCAGCTAAGTCATTTCAACGCGCAACGTCAACCTTCGCTACTCATTCAAGCCAACTACAGCTAACAAACGGAAAACCTAGTCACTATTGTGCAAGGTATGAATAGGGGAAGAGTGAATGCTTACGAGGACCACTCCGTTGACGCCTCAAAAATGCGTTGAAGTTGTTGAATTCGTGCTGCACAAATTGACATGGGTTTTGAATCCTCCACGGCTGTATTAAAAGATGAAACACAGACCTCAACTTTGTAAATGAAGGGATTGAAGAAAAGAGGGCTCTACTAATGCGAAGACACAGTAGTCTATTTAGTTTGGCAAGTCCTTTCATTGTCTTGCAACTCCATTGTCAACAAAACCGTTGTCACTGCCACTTCTACAGCTACTGTTTTTCACGCAAACTGTTGGTACATTGAAACAAAATGCACAATCGAGGACACGGCAAGGCACCCAACTCATAGTTGACACATTGTCAGGCCAGTAATGCGGGAAAAAGGCCTCCACAACTGTCCAGGATGAGGTGCAATTGCTTGATGAGCGGCTCCACCACCTCATCCTCACAATTTTCCAATTTTGAAGATGATGCCATCTCCACACTTGTATGCCCCACAACTTCCTCTGAGGTGACTCAGACACCATATCGGTGAGAGCATTGGCGAAGCCCTTCCAAAGGAGCAACACTTCCACCTTCTTTGACCTGATGTCACGCCTGAAACGTCACATGAAAAACGACGCATGTCGCAGTCGACCGAAACTCTTTCTGATACGACACCCACTCATTCCCCACACTTTTAGTGCATCCACGACCTGCCTGCAGCACATTCTTCTCGCACTGGCTCGCCGTCTCCTTCTGCTGGTGGCAGACGATCTCTCGCCTTGGCAGGAAGGTCCTCGTGCAGCAGATCGATGAAGAAGTCCGCGGGATTCTCGCGTGAACTCACCTTGTAACCTGAAACCAAAATGCAAGTGAACCGTCAAACAAGTAGCATCTGTGAGGCTGTCCACATATTGTTCAAGATCTGCCGCAGGCATTCATGGACTGAGTGTGCTCCACAGGCACACAAAAGGTGTAATCGACTCGGATATCCTGAAAAGGAGGTGTTGAAAGGCTAATAGGTAGAAGAGTTGGCAGAAGGAACTGGAAACCAGCAAACTTGTTGCAGAAGCTGACGTGACCAATTGTGAATGGAGTCACGAAGACGCTATGATGCTACAGAAGGCTTAACCATTTTTCTTTCTCATTCCACTCCCATCGCCTTGCTTCTCAAGTCAGTGAAATTGTGATCGGGTAGTTTTACAAAGTAAACGACTTTACGACTGTATTGTGGAGTACCTCAGAGTACATTTAAAGTGCCCATTGAAGGCCTCGGTAACTGTAAATGGTCGTGTCTGAGTATGTGACATACGACTTCTTGTGTCTGTCAAATCAAGTGAGAACTATGACCCCAAGGCCACCAGTGGCGGCTGCTGCACCCATACGCAAATTTGAGAGAAAGGAACAACATGCCGCCTTGCTATCGAGTTAATGCAGTGAAGTCGATGTACTCTCAGCCGTCCGTAAAATCGGTACGATAAACAGAATTGGCAAATAAGCGCCGCTGAGTTGAGGGGGATATTGGTAAGTTCTCTCTACTGGCACGGATGGACCTACCCAAACTACCAAAGTATTTCAGTGGTGCACCATCCGCCACTGGTCCGTGGTAGATCGTTCGACCGTTGCAGAGAATGGTGAGCGAATCAACGAGCTTGTAGATGGACGAGTTGGGCTGATGAATCGAGGCGATAATTGTCTTCCCGTCAACTGTCAGTCTGCAGTAATGAGCAGGCAAAGCAATCAAGATACTAGCAACCAAAAGCCTGATTTGACGCAATGCTCTTCTTATACTGAGCCCATCAGAGGTGTTCGAAGCACCAAATAAATGCGTCGACCTGTGGATTTACTACGGGGACTGTTCCAGTCTGCCGTTATTCGGCTACCACGCAGCTCCTGCGCTCACTTTGACTACTCTCCTTCCACCTACTTTCGGACGTCTACACGTTGCATCTTCCCAGACCCTTAATTAGTGCATGGCACTGCGGACAGTAACTGCCATGCCATGTTGGTCTCTTCACCCTTCCAAATCACTGTCATTACAAAAGCGTGCCAGCTTATCTAAGTTACCAGTTCAAATGGGAAAACAACTCCTTTTTAGTTTTACGTGATTTCAATCACTAGTCGTCGATTCGTCAGTTCAATTGCATGCATTTCCACTTTGTGTTAAAAACACCTGGTACATTTTGACATTACGGCATTGCTGCAGCCTAATGCTGCGTAACAGCAGTTTCGTTGCAGTCAGAGTCTGGATTCATCAAATAATGTTGCAGTGTTTAGATCCACACTGAATCCACTTCCACTTTCCTTAACCACATGTTTTTAAAAAAACCAACAATGGCCTTCAACAGTTTTTATCAAGCCGACCCGTAACCACGCCTGTTGCATGCTTTTTTTCCCTTTCCCATATATTTCTACAGCAGCTTTGTTTGCCTGTTCATCCAACACGCACAGCACACGTCTTTGGGTCCAAAGCTTAGGAGGAATGACTACCCATTAACCTGTGATTTGACTCACAGATTCATTCACTCACAACCATAAACCATTTCAAATGCAAATTTCAACTCGTCTGAAATAAATTGGATAACCAAGCCGACATTGTGTACTACTAGGCTTTCAAATAGGTTACATTAATTTTATGCTAATCAAGGACTATAAGAGGTGATGAGCAGACTCACCGTTTGAGCAGTTTCATCAGCTTGGAGGCGGTGTGGGTGTCCAGACCAGTGGTCGGCTCATCAAGAAATATCACAGATGGGTCGGTTATCAATTCGATGCCAATGTTCGTCCGTTTCCTTTCACCACCAGAAATTCCACGCGTTATCTCCATACCAACCTGAAAATGCACATGAGAACTGCTATCAGGTGGAGGACATGTTTAAATCGCGGCATTCGACTCCTAACGACCTCTCTTGGAGGACTCCTTCTTTTGGAGACAGCAGGTCCACTGTCCGTGCATCCAAATGAGACCCTTCTACGGAGCGGGAGAATCGACATGGACGAGCAAGCCGAGTTACTATGATTCATCATTTATGTGTGTTACAGCATTTACCGCTTCAAGCCAGACGAATGTGTTTCATGCCATGCTAAGGTAGGTTATAATGTTGTGATCAGCTACGCAGTCGTCGAGGTTGTTAAGGTGCCAGCCCGTTAGGTGACGAGGAAGGGGAAAGTTCCCGCAAATCGTGTTAACCTTAGCGATCCCATAGGACCTGATTTGGTCCTTGAGGTGTTCCACCATTGCTAAGTTGAGACTCAGCTGTACACGATGTCGCTTCATACATTGACCACCACAAAAGGAATTGCAGTCGCAGTTAACTGGGCTGTATTTACAACAGCAACCTCTTATAATGTGTGAGTTAAGTGCGATAAAACTAGGTAATTAGTTGAACAATTATTTGGAGTGTTAGTTATGTGCTCGCCTCAACATTACCAGCAGCAGGCTGGTAATTTCTAGTGAAACAAGAAACTTGACTAATAATAAACATGAACGGCTATGAGACCTTGCTAGGAGTTACTAAATCCACTGTCTATCGGCCATTCTATTGCACTAAACTTTGCCATGAAAAGGGTACGCTAGTTTACTAACGTTCACCATGAAGGGCGCTTGTACCCATGGTCTTCCACCCCTATTATCCAAGTATTTACACATCTGAACATTGGCTTGGAGGATGTATTCAGGGGTTACTCGGGAGTTGCCCTTGTTCGATATGACAAGTGACTTTAACTCTTCGTAAAGTCTTTCATTCGGTCAAGTTAAGAAGAGCTTCAGCTTACCCGATTAGTTTATCCGTCGGCCTAACGACCTTTATGATAGTGAGCGCGAAGCACGATCAAAGAGTGACAAACAACTATTCATAAATTGCGAGCACTTTATTAAGCGCATATTTTAACCGAGTTCATGTAGAGCTTCGTACACGTTAAATTTGAGGACCAGATCCTGATAAAACGCGTTCATCAACTGAGTGGGATGACTTTCAATATCGTATGAGTTAAGTGGGGTTAAAGCACCCGTTGGTTTGCATTAAAACTAGCGCTGCTAAAAAAAAGTCGATAGCAAACATGCAAAAACGGCTCTTTCACGGATCTCACAAACGGTCATTGAAACTGCAGTTCATCAATTGTCTAGTTGCACCAAATTTACCCATAAAAAGACATCTTGGTTCCCAATAAACGCTCGTACCTGTGGCCTTTCACTTGAAACACCCGGTTATTCGCACGTCTAGGCACCTGCTCCCTACGCTTCTACTCAAGAGTAATTTGTAAACTAAGACCGAGCTACCAAGTTGGTGGTGGGAGATACATCCAACAGTTTAGTCACTTTACACATAATGCACAATTATTGTAAACCGAATGAGCTGAAAACCATCAAGATGAGGAGCAACAGATAAATGCAAATACAATCTGATTAAATGGAGTAGCGCCTCGAAGAAATTAGGAATTCATGCATGCTGTGGCTACTGCAAAATCAGAAATGACTTAGGCGCCGTAGTAGTAAAAAACTCTTGCTACGAAAAAATACAGTTGGTCTCAAAGGAGTCTTATTTACTCACTTTGACATCAGCGACAGAGTTAAGGCCCAATTTCGTTAGGAGAGCTGTCACACGGGATTCCCGCTCCTTGCGCGAGACCCAGGCAGGCAAGCGAAGGGCTGCTGAGAAGTAGAGATTTTCACGGACAGTAAGTGCTCCCACTGCAAAGTTGTTCTAAAAACAGATAAACGACCCTAAAAAGCATGAGTGAACCCAAAGGTGGAGCGATTTGCTGAAACCTGCAAGACCGTAGCACCTACAATTTGGTCTATAGTCAACTGCGACTGGTCATTTTTCTCAATAATAAAAATCCACCATTTCGTACTCTGAAATTACAAATGAAGGGCCACAAGAACTTCCTGGGTGATTTGTTAGTGATACACTGCGGCTAATTGCGTCAAATCCCATGCTGCGATTGAGTGTGACGATTTGAAGTATTTTTAGGATCACATCAGATTTCCCTTTGTGAGGTAGTTCTTACAAAAGACAGGGACCGAAAATGCGGCGTTTTGTTAAAATTTGTAGGGTTACGGCTCCCGGTTACTTGTAAATCCCCCTATATTTGTATGGTTACAGATCGTAGAGCCCACACATCATTTACGCATCCTACCATTTCAGTAAAATCACGCAAAATTATGCCATATGATTGTCTGTTTTGCAAATCAGGTAATTGCACCTAATTTAATGGTGTAATTCCACTATGAATTCAATTACTGATTTCCAAGGACCATTTTGGGTAACTTTGGTGGCGCTGAAAAAGATGTTAACGAATAAATTTACAGTTTGTGCAGTGCCAACAATCGTACCCGTTCTCACGCAACTCGTGCCAATCATATAATTAGTCAGAGTAAGCTGTTCAATGCTTTTCAATCGTTTCACAACGCCAAGGAAACAAACAGCAAAAGGGACTTGTGTCGTGTGATTAACCCAGTTAGTTTTGTGCGTTGGCTTTTACAAGAAAATTCAAAAGCTACTCTTCGTGAATAAAACAAGAGCAATATTTCCGTAGCAAACTTGATTCGCCATTATTCATTCAACGAGGAAGAATAGATAAGAGACATGGCAAGAAAACAATTCTAGTAGCAGCGTGTGGTCAAGCAAATCTTAGCTGCTATTAGTACTCTTGCGCGTAAAATAGGCTTATGCAAAAGCGTATGGATGATGAAAATAAGCACTTGCGATGGATCTCTACCAATTCAAGACGACACCTCACACCTGGCTGACATAGGCCGAAGTTCGTTTGAAGTTAGGCGGTCGATCTTTGCCGTTTATGAGAACCATCCCTGACACTAAGGAGGGATCACTGCGCCCGGCTAATACGTCTAAAAAGCTGGAGAAAATAGATGCTTACGAACGCTTATTTAAGCCTACTCAACTCAATAACGCTTGCTCTTACGTAGTTTTGCCACAACCCGTTGGTCCGATGATCACATTAATTCCAGGTTTCATAATTCCTCTAAAAAAAGTAGTACAATAATGAGTTGCTTTTATTGCACATTGGCCACACGAAAAGGGAATTAATGGCGGCAATATGTTCAAAACAAACGCCGAGTATTTGTTACGTAGACCACATAAAATCACACAATATACATTTGGAACTAATTTCAAAAAGTTTATAGGGCCTTAATGAAAAACTCTATTGAAGTGCCATTATGAGCGATTGCATGTCAATTCAAAAATACGACAAAATGCTAATCCAATTTACTGCATCAAGTCAGCACATAAACGGTAAATAAGTGTCAGAATAAATTAAGAGGGGAACCCCAACGTACGTCAAGTTATGCAAGATCTTCACATAACCAGATGGGTAAATGTAAAATTTGTAGGCCTTGGCAGAATATGACACATCATGGAACGATATATATTGCTCAATTTCGGTATTCACCATCAAACAAACTCACACAAGGAAGTGCTCAAACAAGCGCCGTAAGAGCAGAGCATTATAACAATGCGTTGAAAGTTAAAATTAATGCAAATCAAAAATCTTTTTAATTCATTATATACTATTTTATCTTATCTTTAAAAATCAGACTTAAATATTCGTTTTACCTGTGTTGTCTGTAATTCGCGACCTACTATTCCCTTTTAACTGCTCTTGCTCTATCAAACTACTCTGATAAATCCAAAGTATTTCATGATTAGGCTGATTTGCACTACACTGTTTTCAATTAACTTTCGTTTATTAGGATTTTCATATAATTAATTAGGCAGGACTCCTGTAAGTTTAGAAGTAGTATGTGGGACTTTGGATCCCATTCTCGGTGTACTTCAATATTTGTATGCTTTTTATTAGCAAGGTGATGTTCGCATTATTTCGCTTTTAATATTGACCGCAAATATTAATCCACTATCAGATATCAATTACTAACGCGTAATGCGATGGTTGTTTAACTCTCCGTTTTGGTGGGGGCCGGTTTTGAATTGACTATTTACCACGCCGAGTGGGTAGGCAATTGGGCCATGCCAGTAGCCCAAATGTGTTCTGTTTGTCAAATACGTATGTTCTGCCCAGGTATTGTCTTCTCTCGTCTTCAAGGGAGTCCCAGGGTGCTACATTGGTGACAGCGGAGAGTGAATCCGATCTTAAAAAACATCTGTTTTGATTTTCACTACTGGTTGATAAAGAGCGAGGCGGAAGAAGTATATGTTCTATGGATACTAAAATCGGCAATGATTCCAAACAGAAGGGCTCAAATTGACGTCTGCCGTCGGCAAATACTACAAATACTACAGCCCTGTGTTCTGCAGGAAAGCTATTAACAACTGAAGCGACACTGACCGTAAACTATCCGGAATAGTTTCGTTGCAGAGTTTTCCTACCGTACCTGCATAAAGTTGTCGATGTACTGAACGCAGGATACCTCTTTCACTTCTTTACTAGATTGATGGAGCCCGGATGGATATGACTGGGCAGCTCCGAAGTGGGAACAGACGCGAAGCCCTTCCCTCACTTACCTGTATTAAAGCCCTTCCTCCCTTGCACAATTGTGCTTTTAGATCATTGTTCCCACATCTATCGATGGACACGCATGATGGGCAGCACAATTCTCTGTCCCTGAATCTAGTTCTCAAATCGGACGAAACTCTAGATGCAGTTGAATTGCCAAGAGGGATCAGTGACGTTGAGGTCAAGTATCTTTTCAGTTACATGGAACTTTGATAACTGGAACGGCCAGCTCATGGGTATTCCTTTACAGCACCGACTACGTTGTAACGGCTGGCGCGGGTGGTTGGCCTTGATGATTGCCAGGGACGACACCAAAAAGAGGAGTGGAGCTATGTAATGCGATGGCTGTTCAACTCTCTGTTTCGGTGAAGGGTTGCTTTTGACTTGGTCATTGTACCACGCCGGGCGGGCAGGCCTTTGGGCCATGCCAGTAGCCTAAACGTCTTCTGTTTGTCGAATATATATTCTACCCGAGTATTGTGTCTTCTTTCATCTTCAGGGAAGTCTCGGGACCATAAATATATGTAATGCTTTTCACTGTATGCCTATGACGTATTATGTCTTGCAAAATTACCTATTAGTATGATTCGTAAATGCATACCCATTCGACAGCTTTTATTTCGTTGGACCATTGTTATGTATCTCCCAAAAGCGTTTCCCGAATTTCATTTCTGTTGAATCATACCTTGTTATTATCTTTTTTCAGTTCCATTATTTTCGACACTTGAAATCTGAGTGTATGTTTATTATTGGCGACATCCGATTGCCAACTCCACGTCTCAAATTTCGTTGTATTCAGAGGCCTTTACAATGTAGAATTCTTATTACTTCCTACTGAATTTGATACTTGGCATCTATGCTTAGACTTGCTGCCAAGGTAAGAAACAAATTTACTGTATTTTCGGCTCGTCTCCTCCATTTTCTCAACACTTAATTTTGTACTGTTTCTGGCAAATGGCTCTAACTTTCCAAGCTTCGTTTGCACCCTGAATGTTACAATAAAATTTGGGTGTTTTTCTCTTGACAAATATGCTAGTTTTGTACACGGGATCATTGCGGTCTTAAACCATGCTTCTAACTTTCAATTATTCCAGCGACAGCATCTCTGTGCGCTCATGGCCATAACCCCGACATTCCGATTCACAAGGTCATTTGGCTCACTCGAAACACCTGCTTTCTCCCCTGCTTAATCCCTAAATGCTGGCATCACCTCCTGCGACTAAGGTGGTTATTTATTAATTTAATACTCGGTGTTTAAGCGGAGGCCACGTTGCTACCCTTTTCAAATATTGGCAGTCATAATTATTTGGTTCTGGAAACAAACTTTATTGCCAAGGCAACACCTTGGGGAAGTGATTTCAGCCATTAATGAAGTTTTAACAAATTGATAGCTCAACTTAATGTGGTATATTTCTGGCTAAAAATGCTGCAAATGTAGTAAACAACACATGATCTATGCACATCCTTCTGAGGAATAAGTCATTTGTCTGTAATTTCAGTGTGCGAATAGTTTCGGATATATTTGAATGCAAAGTGCCCGTAAGTGTTTGCTAAGTCTTACGAACTCCCGAATTCATTGTGATCTTGGGTACTCCCTATTCGCCTTTAGTTTTCATTTATGGTTTATTGCATATGGCCTAGTCAGTCTTTTAGTGATCGACCCATGTCTCGATGTTTCCGTAATGATCAGCATCAGAAGAGCTTATGGAGGAAGTCAAATAACCCTTCTGGAGGCTCTTAAAACTACAGCCGTAGCTAAAGCTAATTAGGAATGCCTTCACATCACCATGTGAAATTCAGATTGCCTGTAAAACTAGCACTCATTCTTTAAATTTCTGACAAGTCCGGGTAAATTTGAGGCATATTTCGCATGAGAATAATTATGACAAGGTAAAGTAGGGACTGTTCTGCTTTAGCGTTGCCTTGATTACCGCCAGGCATCTTCAGCCCACCATCGCGTAAATCAACCCTATTCTACCATTTTTATTGGTTAATCCAACCCCACTTCTGAAGGCTTAATCCTAATTGGTCGCTTGCACTCTTAGACGTGTACATCTTTGTCATTGGCTACCCGGCAGCGAATTAAATCCGAGTTCTTTCAAAATACGGACCAACCACTTCACGGTTAAATTTCCAGCCAAGTATCATCTACAGCCCTCCTTTCACGTGGCCACTCTTCTGAAACACCATCGTCCTTGTCCGTTTTCCAGTTCACCATCGCTCACTCCACCTACTCCTACTTATGCGTACGGGCACTGAGGTGGATTTTTTGCCGGTTGTACGGCTCTAACAGCATGGCAAGTCAGATTTGACCTGAAAAATCAATGCTAGGACTGTCAAAGTTAAGGTACCACCTGTAACGTTTCATTCGCCGTAAAATGACACGATTTGTTGCGCTATGCTCCACCGGTCCATTGACCGTTCTAGCCCTGCATTCATTGCATTTCGTTCCGTGTTACTTTACCCTTTGACTGTAACATTCAGCTTTGTGGTCAGAGCTTTCAACAACCACCAGCCCCACTGAAGCAGTTTTGAATACGTGATTCGAAGGTCTGGGTTAAATGAACTCCAACTTTTCCTTGTTAAACCAATAGCGTTAGGAGAATATTTTTACTGTTTTCGCACACCTGCCTTAACACCCCTTCTGGCATCACATTTTGCGAGAAGCTTGGATGGCTGTCTGTCTTAGTGAAGTTCTAAATCTGTCAACCCATTACGCAACAGAGCGCAAACCAATCTCATCTTCAGCCTCATAAAGCTCAAAGTCCACTTAACTGCATACAAACCCTCCCAATTCGACGCATTGTTGAGACAACCCACATCTTCTAAAACACAATCTTATTCAGGAGTTAATGTTACACCTATTGCGGGGAGAGTGGGGAAGAATGTACAACAGAGGCGGTGGCGGAAGTAGTTACGGGAAATACACTGTTGAGAGGGGTGGATAGGATTGATTGCTTGTAAACGCAGAGACAAAGCAATCGTCAAGTATTTACACTCACACACCAGGATCATCATCATTGTCATTGACGTCAGTCATCCAACACTCCTCGACTCCACTCGAGCCTGAAGGAGCTGCAGATGTTTAATACGGTCACATATCTTTATTGCGGGACCCATTTTTATTCCAACACCGGTGAGAAGACTCATACTCTTCAGTAGCAGCAGAGAGGTGCCGTCAATGTCCTGATGTCGGAACGCCTCCGCTTCCTTCTCAAAGCCTCCCTGTTCACGCAGCCAGTCAGCTACGTGGTCTACCGTCCAGAGACGAACATCTTCCGGACGACCACTGTCTGTTTGGAGAAGAGGCATCTCAGACGCAGGTGGGTCATGATGCGGTGTGCCCAAATTGGGTGGCATACTATCATCCTCCTCTGCATCCTCCCTCTCCTCCCCGTTTTTCTCCCCTTCTTCCATCGGTAGGGGTCCTGGAAGATCTGCAGTAGTGAGAGTAGAGACTGGCTTGGCGGACGCCTTTGTTTCGGACTCCTTTATCGGTATGGGTACATTCGAGTTCTCTGGGACAGTAACTCTAAAATCATGTAAGGGGGGAATCATTCACTCCGCAAGCGGCCGAGTTGTAAGTGGCTCCAAACTCCTCATCTCTAAACTTAATCTTTTTTTCAAACCAATTATTCTGCATTTCTTTCAAGTTTTAAGCACAACTACTGAAAAAAAATCCTTAACACTCCACCAAGTCAAACATGAGGCGTTTTTGTCCTCTCTGGCACTAGCGGCGACCAAAATTTCATGTGAGAGCTTGCTTCTTCCTTGTTACAACTCCTGCGTAGAAAGTTTGAGTGCAAATACAGAAATCTGCGACTAAACCAAGAATTTGTAACCACAGTTGAGTCAACCTGTGGATCACACAAACAAGACGCAGGATTCACTGTATAGTTCACAAACCTCTTTGTTGTACCTCCCACTTTGTGTGAACCGTGGCTAACCCTAAGCTGGGACCTTAATTGACGATGGACAGAAGGGAGCCTCCAATCTCGACTCCTTTGTCACGTCCGGATCATGACGACCATGGTGGTATTATTTGAAACTCTGTTGTGCTTGAGGTGGCTAGGCGCAGCGTTTATACGTACCCAGTCGGTTCAGCTAACAAGGGATCCACAGAACCAGCTGTGGTCGTCATCATTGCTGTAGTGGAAGGCTGATTTGGCTTGGAATTCATCGAAGACGTGCTCATAACACCTTCCGACGTTGAAATGGCTAGGGAAGATACTCCCAAATCAGCCGAAGATGGTGTAGACACTGGAGCAGAGCTGGAGACATTTCCAACGTGGACACAGTAGCCTTCAGCCTGACATCCAGAGCAAACCCACGGAGTCGTTTGATTTGCACTCTTCTCTGGCACAACTGGACTGTGGCAATTGCCATGGAAGCCCTTGTCACATGCTTCGCATATCAAGATCACATTCTAGAAGGGCACACGTAAAAATAAACTTTTTTAGCCTTTAATACATAGTTATTTTCACAATTCGAGTGCGTATTCATGTGATCATCGCCTGCACAAGATAATAAAACAACACTCGTAATTACCGGGTCAAAGGCCTGACAACCCCGTTCGGGGTGGCGTGACCATCAGCCGCCAGGATGAAAAACCGACATCTAAGGTCTACTAAGCAGATGGCCAGACAACTCTTCCGCAAAATAAGGGGATTGAAACCGAGTTGAATCATCAAACCCTCTTAATAATGAATGATGGCACCGCATTGAGGGTGCGTTGGAGGAACTGCAATCGGGAGTAGATAGACAAAAAAACTCACCTCTGCTTCCTTGTTTTTGCAGACACTGCAGGATTTGCAGTCAGCACATTGCCAAACGCCGTGTCTTGCACGCCGAGTAACTTCTGGCCAAAAGTCGAGGCATTTGGGATGGGCTAAAATGACAAGGGGGTAAAAAGAGAGACTGATTTAGTAGACACACACGTTCACACAAGAAAAGAGAAGAACATGGACTGCAGAGTGGGAGTCAAACGTTCCAACAGCAAAAAAACCCGTTCCAAATGCTAACATTACCTCGGCCCCGAACACTGAGATCCAACGGGACGCTACACTCCTCCCCATGCCCAGCTAGTACCGGTCTACTCTGTTGTGATGGGGACCCCGCAAATTGTTGACCCTGGGCAAAGATGCTCCACAAATTGGTCTCTAGAGGAACAGGTCCACGCTGCAAATACTGCTGAAGGCTCGTTAAAACCACCCGAATGTCGTAAACAATTGTGCTGAGAGCTACATCACTGAGTGGATCGGTGAGAAACCTTGCCGAAGGTGAACTGTCCATCCATGAGAGGAAGTAGTTATCCACCCTTAGGGAGCGTTTTGAGCTGCGTAGATATGGGAGTTGGTTCAAGGCTATGCTTCTCCCTTCACTTTCAGCAAAGCAAGCAAACACGACTGGGAGTGAGGGATGACTTACCAGCTTCGTTTTTGCAACAGCAAGGCGTGCAGACAGACTAAACACCTTTGGTGGTTATTTTTAACACTGTGCTTAATCACGAACCCCTTCTGTGTTTTGACGAGGATATGATCCAAAATAACTAGAAACCGGTTGCCCCCAGCACGTTCGCTGAGTGAGAGGAGTCTTTTGCTGTTCTCGTACAACGCTGGAGGAGGTATGGGAGGATCAGGCGGTAAAGTGTAGTGCAACTCGTACTCCATGACAACCTTCTGATTGTGTTGTGGAAGTTTATGCATAGGAAACAACTTCAGGGTGTTCCACAGATGCATCGCTCGCAGTTCCGCGCCAGATCGGATACACAAAATCTTCCCCAACAGATAGACCAGCGTGTAGGTCAGTTGGGAGACTGAGGAATGACCAAAAAAATTCGCACTCCAGAGGCACTCTTCAGCTGGACTACTCTCTGGGTGAAAGTAGCCAACTAGCCCATCAGTTGAAGGCCCTGGTGCCTGAAGTTTCCTTCGTCCCTGAGATAAGAGATGAGCTGAAGTGTTGATATTTAATGTTCGATTGCTTGGTATAGCCCCCTTTGGATACAAAGGCGTGCTATACGGATGAAATCGTTGAGTAGATGGCATTCTCGATTGGAGAATGTACAAGGAGTTTTTCACCTGAGGTGGGACACTAGCAGAACAAGCGGTGTACGCGTTGGGTGTGGATGCAGGGATACGAGACGGAGCAGGTGGAATTTTTGTCGACTGTTGTTGAGTCCACTGCACCGTTGGGGAGGGGGACACAGGCAGCGGCATGTGAGTTTGCCCACCCTCCCTCTGCCGTAAAAGCAAATCAAGTGCCTGTCTGTGATTCCGTTCTATGACGTTTATCAACTCCACTCGAGGGGAGGGCGCTAGCGCCTTTGTTTTCACGCCTGCAGGGATAATGGGCGCAGTGGATCGCGGTTTCTTTGCACCGTCAAAGGTGGAGGTCACCATGAACTGCTCCTGCCTCCCACTCATGTCCGACCTGCCCACCTTTCCAGCCATGCTTTTGTTGGCAAAACTGACATAACATGTAGACGACTGTGCGTTTTGTTCCAAGCCAAGCATTCGCTCTTTGATTCGTCTAATCACAGCCGTCGATCGATCAGGACAGATTCAAATTTTAAAGCGGATCGATATCCACTCCACATGTGTGTGTAGTGACAAGGCGGTCACATTGATTCAATCAGGGGGGCGGAGGCGAAATGGTGTGACGCTGGGAGGGCTGTGACAAGTCTGAGGTAACTACTAATCGATTTTTTTTATCGAAAAAATGATCTTGTGGGGGAAAAAAGAAACCAATATTTGCAATTAGTTTAAAAAAATGTTCAAAAAGCTTTTTATCAATGCTTTCCCCACCCTGAGTTAGTGATGTTCGAGTCATTTTTTCACCAGTAAATTGCGATCTGACTTTAAAATGTTTTAACATGACTTGCGGATAATCCGATCGTGTAAACAGCAAAACTCGTAACCTAGGCTGATCGTGATTCGTTCAACGTGATCTCCACCATACTGAATAATTGTTTTTTTTCGCCTAGTGTCCACATGTCCTATTGCCGTAATTAAAAAGTGAAATATTGCAAGGACACACGGATGTGTCAAGAGGATTTCAGGGTGTTTTTATGTAGTTATCACGTTGGTCAAACGCATCACGTGGTCTGTCTGATCAATAAAGAACAAGATTGGTTCACAGTTGAATGCGGGAGACATCAAGTGCGTACTAGAGCCCTCTCTACCATCACAGTTCACAAATACACACACACGCACAGACTACTTATCCACTGTCTGACTACCTAAACAAAAATTTACCTTTTAGTCCACAATCACCGCAGACTAGGAATTTGTCATTCCCGTTCTCCGACGCCTTTTGATGACAGCGACAACAGACATCAGTTTCAGCTGAAGTGGCCTCCTCAACCCTTTCCTTTTTAGGCGTCTCTGGGGCAGAAGTGGAACTGGAATTGGCGGCGCCGGCGTTTGCAGGAGTGGTGGATGTGACCGAAGTCTCTGTTACAACATCGGTAGAGATAGCAACGCCACCGGTGGTCCCCACAGTTGTGGTGAGAGCTACAGCAGGTGTTGGCATTGTAACCGTCCCTGCTGCTGCCGATACCGTGCTCGTATCAGGTTGGAAGGTGGTAGTCACCATCGTGTCAGGAGCCACAGCGAATACCGTTGGATTGTAGATTCCCGGGTACATCATCATGGCAGCTGGGGCACCAGTCGCACCCCCTGAAGAGGCAGGTGGTGGTGGTGGCGGTGCCAGAGAAAGAGTTGGCATCGGAGTTGCGGACACCATGACCGTCCCGTCCAATGGGACAAAGGTGGTCGTTGGTGCTGTCCCTGCAACCGTCTCGATCTTCAAACGCTAGATGCCAATATACGAATGGATAATTTTTAAAGGCGGTATCGAATTACTTAAGGTAATTTTGGGAGTTCTAGCGATGATTGCATTGTTTGAAGAATATACGCAAACACAAACGATGCACAGCGTGTTTGTGAGTGAATGAATGAATGAAGGAGAACCTGTGTTTACAGAACAAAGCGACCTTGAACCCAACTTGCCAAATGAATACTTCTCGCTCCCTATTGGTTGCTTGCATCAGGTAGTGGGGAAGAGTACTGAAGTTTACCAAAAAGTACCAGAAGTGTTACACTTGAGCTGTGCACATATAAATTTATGTTACAGCTTTCAACTAAGCTAAAGAAAAAATGTGGATTTAGTGGACAAAAAGTAGCTACACGAGCCAGTATGCCGTCTGTGAGCTGATTAGCGACGCTATGGTAAGGTCAGACACGAATCGGCCATAATTAAAGGTGCCAAAACATGCATTCATGCGTTTTTTACCAAAACATCGATGGAAATTTTAGATAGACGAGGCTGGAAGTTTCGAAAACAGTGTGTTATACGTTACCAAGGCTCTATAGGCAGCTCTTTTTATGCTTTTGAAGGTAAAAATTGGCCTAATTATGTGAATAGCATATGAAACTTGTTGCTAGTTGAGAAAGCATTTTACCAGCATTTTTTGATCAAATAAAATTGCCACATCTCATACGGAAATCCATTAGGACGGTCACGCTCTCTAAACCGCCTCCGCCTCCTCCTCCCCTCGTCACGCGCCTCAGGCTAAGTAACACGTATTAAACGGCCTTCGAGGTCGTGACTCATGCACCGTGATGGAAAGTAGGGACTAGCAGCAACGTCCTTCACGCAAAAAGGGACTTCCAAATGCACAGGAGGCCGATGCTTTCACCAAATCAACGCCCTTCTTGCAATGGACGAGACTGGGTGAAAACTGGCCACTTTTAAGCGCTCTTTGTTCTTAGCTGTGGTGGGTTCGATACCACGACCGGAGTGATTAATGACAAGGCTGTCTACTGCACCTCTATTGTGGTGTCGTATTAGCCTTGCACTTTCCTTTCCACAAAACAGTTCAAAGGTAACAAAAAAAGAAGCTTGTGTTTCCAAAAAAGAAGGGATAAAATTAAAACAGAAACATCAGCGTCCAAATGAGTATCTAAAAGGGAACTTATTTGACAGCGACAGCAAATACGAAGTAAACAAAGGCGCAACTTAACTACTTTATGAGACACCAAGGCATTAAGATGGCCAGAAAACCGGCTGAGGTGTATTTAAATAGGGATGCAGTTTGGTGATTGGTCAGGCTGGTTAAAACCGAGGTGGAGGGGAGTCCAGGGTTGCGACAGTAATAGCGTCTGCCAGCTCACAAGTGCACCACCTGAGAGCACGGAAAGGGATACTTGAAAATCGAATAATCGAGGTTGGGAAATACACGCATTCACACACCCATATGCGACGATGTGCATGCGTGCGCACGCATGTGCGCAGGTGCGTGCATGTGGTGCGCACAAATGCAGACACTGCTTGAAAAACGACACACACACAAATAGCGAAGTGCTGTGGCGCAAGGGTAGGGTGAGTCACTGCCGGAGACAGGCAGTTTGCCATCACTCGTTCGCTCGCGCACCAGTACGTGTGTTTGCGCGCACGCCCCCGTAGACGCACGCACGCGCGCACGTCCGCCTAATTGGCCTGGGGACGACGACAGAGTGCGAGAGAGCCAGGATGAAGGGAAGGGGGTGGGGAGATGAGGGCGGAGACACGCCCCACGAAAACACACGCGCACTCCGCCTCTAAAGTAGTCTCCTGCTCTCTCAGCCAATCGCATGTGAAAAGGAGTCGGTCTTTATGTCTCGCACGCGCACACGCATGCACGCACACATTCATAGGCAGGCAAATCGGCAAGCCAGCGTCTCGTATTTTACACTGTCGGCGGCACTATCGCGCCACTACCGCCAACACCACCACCACCATCACCGCTGCTAACAGCGGTAGCAGCACAGTGCGAGATAGAGATGGTACAAAGTAGCAATGTGCTTGCATGCATACACACAGGCAAAGGAAGAAAAAAAAGCTGAGATGAAATGAATGGGAAAACTTGCCTTTTCCAATGAAGGAGTCATAAGATTGTCCGGTGGAGCAGGCAGAATGGGTTGTTGCGAGCACGAGGTGAGCATCTTCTTCGCTTTAATGCTGGGAGGTCGGCCTCGTTTTCCGGTAGTAAATGGCGGTCGCCTAGCTAGCGGTCGGCCGGGAGCGATTGAAAGAACACTGTACGATTTCCCACTAATTGAATCCAGCGCCGGAGCTATTGGTGGTTTGCCGAATGTGCCTTGCGGCGGTAGCTTGCCCAAAAATGGTCTTCTATTATACTGAGTCGGAGGTACAGTGCTGCGCTTTTTGTCTCCGTTTTCGTCTAGCGTAAAACGCCCATCAGGTAGCTTAAAGAGCTTCCCAAAGATCGCCTCTCGCTCTATACACATTCGGAGGCTTGATCCGGTCAGCTCAGTCATCGGGGAAGCCACCGATGAAGAGTCCCCCTCATTCTCCCCGGGGGTGGTAGCAGAGGGAACGGAAGGCTTCAGCTGTTTCAGAGCTTGTTCGATTTGGAATAAGGTAAAACTTTGATTCGAGTCCCCGCCCTCGGGGATCAGTGAGCGAACGGCATCCAGGAGACGTCTACTGATATTTGGTCTGTTGGTTATAATCCCAGACGATGTTGCTGCCTTGCGCCACTTGGTAGGATTTCTGTAGCTTAAATTCCCCTTATAGTCGACGCAGACGACGGCTCCGACTTCCGCCAGCCGGCTGAGACAAATCTGCGTGTCAGAGGGTGGGATATTGTGTTGACGTCGGAGGAGGGATGAAATGTGTTCCATGTCGGGCCGGGCTTTTCTGTCGCGCAGTTTGTCAATTGCCTCAAGGATGAGCTCGCGATTAAAATTGGACTTTTCCAGGGAGGCCATATTCGCCTCTGGAGTTGGAGTGGTGGGTATAACTGTGCCTAAAGGTACAACTGGTTTAACTTCAGGTTTGCATTTAATAGATGGTGTAGAATCAGCCACTGTGCTGTTGAGATTTGGTGTTGTTGATTGCATTGTCGAGGGGGCGATCGATACCGTACCGTTGTGGATAACAGGCAATGAGGCAGTAGACGTAATGCACACGTCTGTGGTTATTGGCGTTGTCAAGACCACGGCTGCTGCAGCAGGGGGAGACGTATTTGCTACGCTCACCGGTTGGCTGAAGGACGAATAACTTATTGGCGTCCCATTTATAACCGGTTGCGGTTGCGCTACAAGCATAGAACCGGCCATATTAAAGGGAAATTGTCCCCCGGGGCTTTGAAATATTGTTCCTGATGGCGGTGAGGTAATGCATGGCACGACTGAAGTCGGTCCAGAAAAAGGAACAGGGAAGGATGCAAATGCGGTGTTGGGAAAGTAGGCGGGAGTGAGAATGGGAGTTGCACGACTTCCCTGCTGTCCATTAATTTGCTGGTTTGGTATAATCCCATTCACAGTCAGCAAAGCCGTACCATTGTTGGAGGACGACGGCCCCACGGACCCGTTCGCGGCTAACATCACTCGCGTAAATGAATGATACCGCGCATAAGCACAAATGCTAGCTACAAGCGCGTTCGGCTCAGCCAACCTGAAGGCTAGTTGGGTCACGCTGTTGTGTTACGCCCTCCTGATTGGCTAATGCCTAGCTTCCCCCGTCGATAGTTTATTGCGCGCGAATAAGCTAGCACCAATCGCATTACAGCGCTTATACGCGTTCGCGCAAAGGTAGGGTGGCTGTGTGCGTGTGTGTGGGCGTTTGTGTGTCTGCCTCACTACAACACCGCGTTAATTAAGCGTGCATATGCAGGCGTCCTATAGCTGGAACGCTGGTAGCGTGTCTGGCTCACTAATCCGATTTGGCTGTGTGTGTGCGTGCGTGCGCTCGTGCTTTCGTTCGTGTCTGTGTACGTGCGTCGGTGGTCGTACCCAGGCTTCGCACAAGTACGCAATTCATATACCGAGGCAGTAGGCAAAGGGGACACACGCATGCAATATATAAGCTACTAACTGACAGCTCATCCGCATCAAGTGCGTTTTCCGGTGCGTGTGTGTGTCTGCGTGCGTGCGTAGGTGCATGCATGCGTTATCTCGCTCGCTTCCCGGGTTTTGCAAACTTCTTCGCAGTAAGCGCAAAATACGGGCCTCCTTTGTCGTAAATCACCTCGTGCTGCAGCCACCACGAACAGCGACACTGCCAGGCGTGGAGAGGCACAGCCTCGACATTAATTGCGGAAGGGGAATCCTAACCACAGTGCGTCGTTGTCGTCGTGGTACCTCGATTCGTTTGCCGTTTGCGATTAGTTAGTTTGTAATACCGTTTATGCTCATAATTTTAACCACCATTAAAGGGTTATCAGTGAATAAAATCTGCCTCAAACCCAAAGGAGCAAGGCTAGTGGGTGCTTAATTAATTAATAGTCGAGACTTATGTGACTCAACGGTGGTTGGAATGTCCCTCCGAGGCACATCCCACTCACGAAGTCGACAAAAAGCAGTCGTGAGTGAGCTAAATCCCACTGGTCCAGCTCCTAATTCCCCACTTCGTGTCAGCTGGGAAACGGAAACATCATAATGAGATTGCATGTCTCGGGGTAACGATTTATCTAACGTGTGAATCTCGCCTCATGCATTGGGGTACTTGGTGTCCCGATTTATAAGATGGGTTAATTAAAAACTAAATCATTTTCTTTTTCCGATTTGATTCCTCAAAAATGCTAAAACAACCCTTTCCATTCCCTGATTACAGACCGACTGATTATCGCGCATGGTGGAGACCTTCTCATTGTAGGGTCCACGAAACTGGACGACTCTCTTTGCATCAAATACACAAACGAAATTCGGAAATTGGAACAGGCTAGGAAAGCATCAAGTTTACGCACAGATTATTTCCCTTGTTTGAAAGCTAAAGCAGCCCCTCCAAACCCGTGACAGATTATGGTATGCATTGGATTAGCTCCGGACGCAGTACCTGACACACATTAACAATTAGCACCGGAGGCACTGCAAAGCCCTCCCCAAAATTTAATACTGCTTTTGTTCAGTAATAAGTTAACCTAACCCCTTTTTATCCCTCCTCTTTGATACACTTCGAAAGCGTCTGTGCCGAAACGGATGCCAAATTGGATAAAACCTCGGCATGTGAGAAGTAAACATTTTGTGTGTGTGTATGTATGTGTAGCAAACACGGTCGTATGCTCCTACGGGTTTGTGTAGCCTCGTTGAGTGATTAAAAATGCTATTATCTACTCGTAATCCCAATGAAAAGGCCGATGCCACTGCCGAAATTGGGTTGTGAGGACTTGTACAACCGGATGAAATGCAATCTGATTATTTAACGCCTGCGAATGTCAGTTAATCACATTGCTCAGTGACTTGCACTCATTTTACATGTCTAAATTCTGGCAAAAATAATGCACGAAAAAATAAGAATCGGAGCTTTCTTCATCATTAATAATCAAATCGCAGTATGATGAGTCATCGGAAATGGAGTTCACTTGTAATCCAATGGGGTAATATTCTATGGCTAGTCAACTGTTCGCCTGTTTTGGTAAGCAGTCATTTATCTCAATACCGGGTGGGTGATGCCTCGATTCTACACTGGGGGGCAAGACCGCCCGCTCTCCTATCACATCGATGTCCTTTATATAGTCCTGACTGTTTCACACGCTCATATCGGATCGATTTTATCGATTTACCACCCTTGCAATGTGATTGGTTACGTGAGTGGCGCTGAATTTAAGTCGCATTTGTGTTAGTGGTTTTTGTAGCGGAAAATGAGTAGTATATTCCTTCACCTTTATTTGCATCTAAATTCATATGCTAATGTAGGTAACTGGGTTTTTCACCAAGCACATTTTTAAGGCTGTGAGCTAGACCAGTCGAAAGGCCATTGCACATATCTTGCCACATAAGTGCACATCTTTTAAAAGTAAATCAAATCGATATGTAGGAACAGTTTGAGCTAATCAAGATGTCACAATTGTATGAAATACTTCCGGGGAAGTATCCTATACCGAGGCAGTTAATTTTATCAACCCCAAAATGGCATGGTCTCATGGACTAACCGAACTCCTCAATGCACACTGCTTTCCCCTATCAAAATATCAACATATCACCTGACTACCACTGTCAATGGGATCACTAGGTGTTGCAACAGTCACTGGGATGACTCGGTAATGCTGATTTGACCCCACTGACCTTTAATTTTTGCCTCTAGTGAGGGGTCAATGCTCACCAATTTCTAATAAGTCGATTGACAAGCCGAATTGATGAGGAGAGCGGCCACTTAATCAATAGAGAGGGAATGCCTTTGGGTAGGAGGAGTCACGACTCAAGCAGTTTAAACAACATCCAAGTGGTAAGGAGAGGGGCTGGCGGTTCCCACTAGGCTAGTAAAATTCATAAAGGAAGAATTTGCATTTGGTGGGAGGGTAAGGCAAAGGCAGAAGAACACACCAACGCTGATTGACATCGGCGTTGGCTTTATGTGCGGTGTGAACACTCGCCTCGTGTGCATGAATGTATCTTTGTGTGTGTTCGTCGTTTGTGGATCGGAATTTTGACATTATGCTGTTTGAAGTAAGGACTCGACTGGTGTCAGGAGCTCAACAAGCGTAGGAATTTTAAATTATGATTTCTGCTTGACATCACGTGTGTGTGTGTGAATAGCCGTATAAAGTACAAACAACAAGCATCAAGAGGTTCTGCTGGAATTTATTCGCCTACCGCAGCTCAAATTAAAAGATGCTTTCTTTTCACAACCCTAACTACGGTGACAGACATTTTAGAGGAGGTGACCCACGCTGTCGCTGTGACGAAAGAAAGGATTGGTCTGTCTCTAACACCTTTAATTACAGGCCCCCTATCATGGTGGCAGTCAAATGGAGGAGGAGGAGGGAGGGGGTAGAATGGATTTAGGGAATTCAACAACCCGCAATTAATATTTCTAGATAATAGACACATTTAACTTTCCAATTTCAGCTAAGTGGTTCAGTTTAACGCCATCGCAAGGCCAAAAAGGGGGCTGATTTGACCGCCCACCTTCTCCAGTAAGTAGCAAATAGGTAAAATAAAGATATACTGCGAGAAATAATAACGTCTTAGAAGATTAACATTTAGCAATATAAATATTTTGAGCCATCAGACCTACCGCTTTAGTCTACTAGCCCCGGCTACTACTTGGTTATGGCTTAGCCTATGGTCATTCAAAAACGAGCATTTTAAAGAGCTCTAATGGCTGAAATGTACTCTTTGAGGCATATAGATAAATTCTAGACGGTTATTTTGCAGTTTTAAGTGTCGACCCTTGGATAGAAGACGTGTAAACAATGGTCTCCGAGGCAAATCCGCCACTGCAGAACAAATGACACTAAACGAATGGAAATGGTAAATATCCTCCAACTAAAAGGGCCAGACTTCTTGTTTTCTTTGTTTTAAACCCACTCAATCAGTTTGTAACACAATATGGTGAATCAGTTTCGATAAGCTGATTAGGTTCAGCTGTCACATATACGTGACTCCGATAGCAGGCGTTTTAAGCACACAGTGCAATAAAACACCCCTGATTTGTTGAGTCAGTGATAATTTTGGGTACTTATTGGCACTGTGTGCTATAAAGTTGAGCCAAAATTTTCCAGGAAAAATCTGTTTCTTCTGCACCATTGAAATATGCCACTTGCTTCTCTGGAAGTAGCTAGAAGCATCCTTCCTTCATTCCATTGAGAAGTGATTCAACTAAACCTGGTTGTTTTACCATTTTTTCATTGACTTCAGCTTAAAAGGATCGAACCTTTTGAATGATTAAGGTGACAAGGAGGCAAATCTGATGGAAAATGCATCACATGCGTTAGGGATGAACTCCTGTAGACAATTCCTGACATTAGCTATTCCTATGGTAAAAATCCAGGTTGACTGATTCCTGAAATGACCTCCTATCTAACGACCTTGACTATTTCAACAGATTGAGTAACGGTTGTGCTTACATGGGTCACCTCGGTAACAGTAACTGAACCCTTTGATGCCATCACTTTGACGTTAGCTTGATTCATTTTGTAATAGCTCCCTTTTACCAAGATCTCGCCTTTTCGTCGTTGCCAGGAGTAACACACAATTCTTTTACAATTAAAAACTTTCAAAATATCCCAGTGAACCCTAAACCTCGATTTTATGCTACCAGCAAGGGCTTCTATCTCAACTGTAGTGGGCGCCTTAAGTCACCTCTGAAGAAACAAAAAAGGGAAGGATTTTGGCAGACAGGCTGGAAGAAATACCATAATAACAAATTTACAACCGAGCCCACAGCGGTTTCGGGAGCCGGGTTAGATGAACCAACTGGTAACAGAAATGCCTTTCCGCTCCAATGCCTCATGTAGGAAGTGCGTCACTTCTCGGCGGCGGTGAACAACGTCAACATCAACAAGCGGGGGAGAAAAAGAAAAAAGGCATTGGCAATTTTTCACACCTCTCCCAGTCTGCAAATGTGGGAGTAATGGAGATAAATGGGTTTTAAAAAGAGCGCGAAATTTTTCTTCCTAATATGACGTGTACTTTAGCCTACACGCATGGAAGTCTGGAAGGTATGTGTACATGTTCACCCTCTAATAGTGGGTCCAAACAGTACGGTTAAGCGTAGATTGGACTAATTTTTCTAGAAATAACAAAGGCAAATCCGACATTTTGTGACTTTGACAATCCCTTAATCAGACTGGCTGGTTAATGGGCTCGCTACTACCACTGCCGCATGGCTCAATCTGGCATTACAGACGGAACCCTTTCCTGTCATAATATGCCATAACTTTTAATTAGATACTGTATTAACTTTTCTCCTCTCTTGCTTTTCTAAATAAACATAGTTTATATGTGTTTCGCACGGTAAAATAAGGAAATATAGGCGTCACATATGTGTGACGGGGGTGCCTAATCTAAACCTAAACCGAAATTGAAGTGTTACAATGGCACGATAATAATATTTGTTCTCTAGGTTGAGAAATTTTCACTAAAAATACAGTTAACACATTTTTAGGGAGGAATTTTGCGATAGTTGGCAGTAAATTATGTCAAAGATTTGCCTTCTCGGTAAAGTGACCTTTTTACGTGACTGAGCATTGAGATTGTTAAGCGATTCTATGAGGCTGTTTATCTGCTAGGCTACCTTTCAAACACCAAATATTGCGTTTACAAAGTGGTATTTTATGGCAAGATAGCCCACATTTCAAATAACCTATTTGGCCTTTCCTTTAGTGGAAATTAGACATGAATTTTGGACTCACGTCATCTCATCATGCATCACCTACACTTTTCCAGCGCCTTTTTTTCACTTCCCCATTCATGAAATGAACGCAAATTCTGGTCACTGACATTGAAGGTGCTTGATTTCTGTGCGGCTGCAAGACTAGACCGGATGATTTGTTTCAACCAACCGGTGAATGAGTGGGCGGCGTTGTTGCTCCCGGTGCAGTTGTAGCAACTTCACTCTCCTTCCCTGGTTATTTTTTTTTACAAAATAACCAGCCTATCTTCATGTATTGAATTGTCTCAGAAAGGAGTGATAAAACAGTTATGATGCTTTTCGACTATTTATCAGGCAGATTAAAAGTGTGGATGGTCCTTTTCAAAGAATTGGATCGGTGCTACTCCGAGATTGTGACGAGTAGATAGGGAAGAAGGGCACATTCAGCATAATTTTTGTTTCTGTATCTTCAGTTTACCAGGTAATCGCCTTGATGATGGTGTTCCCTATATCAAAAAACCAGCAAGGTTCTCTGAAATTGTTGGACTTACTTGAGGATCTGTGGAAACTGCTGATTCCGATCAACCATACAGTTAATGCGGTGCTGATGTAGCATCTGTAATTTGTTATACCCAAAACCCCAAGTAAATGCAGGTCTAATAATTTGGAGCCCATTTAATGTTTGATTTAGGCCAACATTTGTCAGCAATCCTCATTAGATGTAGAAATAGCGATGAGACCGCCCGTTCTGCTGACCCATCGGAGGAGGAAATTGTTAGAATCCTTCACGTAAATCAACCTCAAGCCTGGATTTTTAACATATTATAAATTTCTTAACAAAGATCTGGTTAATTAATGCTTTGGGATGTTAAAGAAGTGTTCTTCTTAAAGGTGATACAATAAGTCGGATGCTGGAAGGAGGCAAAAGTCTATTTTCAACAGTACTTTTTGAAGCATTCACCATCACCTCTAGGGGTTACTTGCTTCTCGATTGGATTATTCACTAAAAGACGGTTTCGAATGCCTTTAAGCATTCCTACAATTCTCATCAATTCAAGGATTAACCTAATGGATTAGCATAACACCCTTCTTCCAATCCAACGAGTTTCAACGAGGCGGTGGATGAGAGCTCCATTTAAGGGGGTTGGTTTTGTGTTGCAGTACGATTAGTATCCTATTAATCCGACATTCTTGCTTTTAAATTTTCCACATCTATTGCCAAAAATGAGCAAAAAAATGAAGGAAAACTTCCAGACCAATGGATTGGATGATTTTTTTTCATCTCAACGGATGTGGATTGGCTTTGACAGATCCCATGACATCAATTGACTTCCCAAACTGTCCTGATATAAGATAGGGACGGAGGAGGAGACAAATGAAATTTTTCCTTTCGGTATCATAATCTTGGAGTGCTTTGACAATTTTCATAAGAATTTGATTAGAAATGGTTAATTTAAACTAGAATAATTACTTCCCTTTCGTAAATGGGTAGATAAACTCCCAAAAGGCTCAATTCCGATTGTTCTGAGGGTTCCGACGAATGTTGACCTATTTGATGGTCGGTTTGTTTGATTATTTCAATGCATCATTACAAAGTATCACCTGGAAAGTGTCTGAAACAAAGCGTGAAGAGTCTACACTACGACAACTGAACGCGACTGGGGGTTCTGGAAAAGGGAAAACACGTGGATCTTGGTGGAATGTTTGACGATTTCATGGATGAGCATCTGTAGATTTGTACAAAACCACCACGGCATCACGATTAGGCATAAATGATGCGTCTTTTAGGTCCAATAAATTGTTTATGAAGTAGATCTTCTTTTTCAGGAAGAAGTAGAGACGAGATGTTAGACGGAATTTGAATAGTCACTTCGACGACCTGATAGGGGGGCGCCACATCCACAACTTTTAAATTTAGGAACGCTTAATTTAATCTATAAACTTCCTTGACATTTGACCGAGTGTTAGAACTTCTGTACAGTAAAAACAGTTTGCCTTATCACGGCCTCAGAGATGACCTGTGGTGGCAACAGTACTCGAACCCAATCCAAGTGAGGGAGGAACCTTATTCCGTTGGCTTGTTACCAAATCTATATATTCTAGAAGGAAGATATCCAATTAGGCGCATTACAGAGGAAGTTAAAACGACCTCTAGCTTGTGGCAACTCGAGAATTTAAATTTTGTGCATTACCTACAGTGGAACGAGATTCAGTTTCAACGAATCGCAACCGACTTCGAAGACAGGCTTCCTATTGGTTCCCAGATGGCAGTATTTGCATCATAGCCTGAGGGCATGATACCCCATTTTTAATGTTAGCTTTTAACTAACGTGACCCCAAAAAGAGTCTGACTTGCAGACTATGCTTGCTGTAAAGCATTACCCTGTTTTTAGCACTGTTTTTTACATAGATTCCATCTACCTCGCAGAGGACGTGACAATCAGGAATGCTAGTTAGACCTACAGGTCTACACCAGGCCTCGTTACTGTCGAGGTATAACAGTGACCGCAAGAGCGTCCGAAGACTGCGTGGACTCGTCAACTCCTGCAGTTTGTATTACTATCCAACGGCACGGCCTTCCAGCTACACCTATAACCACTCAGGCCTCAGCGGTAGTTTAGTGGTCTACCCAATAAACAAACTGGAGATTTTTCGTCCCTAGATAAAACGTACTCTTTGTATTTTGACTGTGTTACCATTCCGGTGCGAATTAGAGAAAAAATTTGTCTTAGTGGACCCATCACAATGCCTTAGTCATGACCATACAATAGAGTGAGGTGTGGGAAAGAGGGAGCTACATGATTTTAAACAAGACACACAGGAATTATAATTTTATCTACGACACTTCTTCCATCTTCGTTGGGGTTAGGGATCGAATAGCCTCTCAAAGAGGCTATTTTCCACCTGCCTGGGGGTCAATATATTCACCTCCACCTGCTTAGCCTCCTACCCAAACCCGTTGTTTGAGCATCCTTTGTCTGAGTATCTTGTAAATTATACTGACCTATTTGAGGTTGGAATTACTAGTCGCAAACCGATTATAACTATGCTGTGTGAATAAGCCATCGTTTAGCTCCTTCTCACAAGAAAATTCGCAGTTAGGGCATTGTGTTACTCAACAATAGCCTTTGTTAAGAGATGAGGTACTAAAAAGTGGAAATTATGAATTTAAACGACATACTTTCAAGGTTTTGATGACATGATTGGGAGTGAGTTTTAACAAAGCTTCACACAATTGTCACAAGGCGTGCGAAGGGGAGAAAAACACCGATTCCAGGGGTTTTTTGTGGGATTTTCACACTCCCCCATTGTTGTTCAAACAGTTGCAGGCTAGCTAAGGCGATTCAATGTTGTTATTATTGGTAGTTTTGACTCACCCTCCACACCTTGTGGAATGCACGTGGGATTTGCATTGACAAGGCTGAGGAGGCGGGAGGGGGGACGCGGGAGTTGTGGGGAAGCAAAACAGCCCGCAGATTATCAGATATGGCACATTTACTCGACCACGACAAGGTGGAATAAGCATCCTTCTGTGTGCTTACAATAAGGCCACTTCCAGAGTCGTATAGTCTCTGTAGCTTTCACAGGAGACACGAGAGTCCTTCAGCTAGCGGAAATAGTTAAAGAGTCGCCTCCTATTCTCGTCATAAACACTTTGATTAATTATAGATGGTGGTGGTATTAGCGTCGCATTTTCATGAAATGTTGAATTTTTATGAATTTCTATGCTGTATTGAAAAATACATTGCTACAGGCCTGAAATAATCACTTTAATGAGGTGACGTAGCCCGAGTTGTCATGTGCCACTGACAAGATTGACACATACATCGACGTGCAATATATATTAGCAACAAATCCTGCTCACGACATTAAGAAGGAATTACAAAGGTGGAGGAGAAGCATTTAAATGATGCACAACAGGAAAGGATATTCTATGCGAAGTTACAAACGTTCCTTCAGTTGACAAGCAATTAAACTGTCAATGGTCTACGCTTTCTGTACGAAATTTGGGTATACATTTCCTAAAAGAAAAGTAACCCTTACAGAAGTAACGACTTTTAGGGGGATTACTAGCGCACACACCCAAGCTGAGGCGGTGGGTAAACCGGTGCGGATTTTGATTGGACGAAAAATGAGGTCACACATTATTGCACCTTTGCCGCGTGGATCGATAAACCGATGAACAGTGGGGATGCGGAGGCGATCGATAAGAGCTGTGTGACGTGACACCTCCTCCATTCATCAACTCGTCACGTTGACGATTAGCCTTGACCTATTGCTCGGTTAGCCTTGTTTTTTGATAAAATTTGCTAGCTTAAGGCCAATTTCCACAAACTAATCAAATAGCTTAAAATGGCCACTGTCAGAAAGATTTGCCAAACCCTAAAGACAAAATTTGTAGAAAACACTGGTACAATAAAAGTAGGGCTCAGAAAGACATAAATATTTTAGGCGTTTAGTAATACAATAAAAAAATTATTTCTAAATTAATGCCGCCGAGCGGAGGTGGTAGTAATGCGCTCTGCCATTTCGCCGCCTCGGCATGACAAAAAGAGGGCGACACGGACCACTGGTGGCAATGCTATGGGTCCATTAAAAGTTTTGCACGAATCAAAATCTCGCTAACTGCGATAATGATAAATGAACCAATGACATTGTTAGTTTAGAAGGCAGGCCCACGCCGCCCCTTTGCGTGACAGCCTTCACACATCAGTTGTTCGTGTGTCGCGGTGATGGTGTATGCGCAAATTCTAAACAAACTGTACTGCATCCTTCTAGCCCTCGTTCCAGTTGTTCACATGTGCAAAAAGGGTACTTTTGGCCATCTCAAATGGCCCCTTCTGCGAAAATTTTTTTTTACGGTGTACAGAATGATACTTCTACACGGGAGCGTCACATTGATCCCCGCTGGTGATGTGATGCGAGTAAAATTATGTGAACTTGGGCAATTAAAAATACTTCAGTTGCGGAATGAGTGACATCGTGAGAACGGATTTCGGGTTGGTAATTGGATCACAATCTACCAGTGGGTTTGACCGAATATTTCCTTAAAACCTATCCTTAAAGGGACGAGGCATGTTTGCCGCGTGCTCACCCAGAAACACATTCAACGGGATTTATTACTGAAGCATAAGCTCCTCGTGGCGAATCAGCTACCTGCGAAACGGCGCCCTCAAGCGAGCTACTACATTCGACATGCTGCCTACCAGCTCTGCTATCTTATTTCTCAATGATGGGCCTGTTGAGGGGTAAATGAGTATATTCATTAGGGGTAGCAGGTGGGATTTAACAGGATAAGTGACTTTTCCGGAAATGCGCGTGCCACGCAGATTGCGCCAACCAACAACCACCACAACGTCTGAGTCCGCTGAGTCAATAGCCTCAGGGCAAACCAATCGCATGACTGCACCGGAAGGTGGATTCAAAAGACGCGGAGAGAGGCGATTAGTTGGGCAGCCCTCACTGGAAAAGGGGATTGCACATGGCGCAGCTTACTCATCCCAGTGTAGGCACGGGAGTCACAGATAAACGACAGGCGGTAGCGCGCAGCACTCGAATGCCAGGTAGGCGCAGGCATAACCGAAGACAAAATTGTGCTGCGACGAGTGAAAGGCCCCGGGATCAATTCCCTGCAAACCTAATACAAATAGACTGGAAACCCCCAAAGTGATTGACGGAATTCGAACACGGCGAGCCACCCTCAGACCTATAAAGAGCAGGACAGACACCTAGAACAACATCGGAAGGGATCCTGCAATGCTGAACAAACCCGCGGCGGGACCTGCCACAAGCCACTTAGACATTCGTTATTTGTTGAAGCTGGAGCAGAAGTTCCGTAGACTCGCGAGACGCCACCCACGTCCGGAGTAAACACAGCTTCGACACCAACTACTAATAAGTCCCGAGTACGAGCGGTAAAACCGAATAGAAGCAACCAAAACAAGTATTAAACATGGCAAACAATCCAGCGTTCAATACATAAATATCCAATACAAGTTCGATTTTATTTGTTTATTGCGCTTTATCCACAGAGTAGGGTTGCGAAATCACGGGCTCTTCCTTTGCAGTGAGTATAGAGACAAAGTCGGGGAGAGGTTTTCTGGGGCCGGTGTTCCCGGAGCTGTCGTGGTTCAGCATAATTTTTACCCGGATACCAAGGATACCCTGGGGAAGACGCACATGACGAACGGCACGATCGATGTAGTAGTTAACTGGGTCACCGGAGTGAATCATTAATCCGTCGGAAAACTTCATGGACTTCGCGCGCTGACCCTTTATTTTTCCGGAAACAACGACTTCAGCACCACGCGCACCCGATTCCATAATGAATCTCAAGACACTGTAGCAGGCCCTATTAAAAGTGGTAGATGCATGTATAGAATGTCCTACTTTCTCACGGGAAGGCCACCTGTAAGCTTGTAGCGAAGGGATTCGGCTTGCGTTGTTGCACTCAAACTGCGAGCCATCATCTTTTCTACGAACAACTCAATAGTCTTCGTAGCGCGAGTCCGCTGCTGGATGAGAGAGGTAAGTTCTCTGATCCTACGCGACTGCTCACCTAGAACAGCCTGAGTCTTAGTCGCCGAAATGATGATTTCTGTGCGACGCTCATTTGAGCGAACCTTGACACCACTATATCCATCCTCGGCCAGTTCACGACGGAGAAATTCGTCCAATTCTGCTTTGAATACTCCAGCGGACACAAACTAGAAGCAGCAAGGCATACTTGCACAAATGCTCAAAGAAGTGGACCATAAAGGCACAAAAAGCGAAGCAAGTTACCTTACGCTTCAGCGACATACGACCCGTCCCAGCCATGCTTGCGGCTAAACTGTACAGCGCGGAATTATTAGTTTGGACGAAATCAAACAATTCCCAAATGAAATAGGCGAAAAAAACTTTAAAAGGTGATATCCTTAACTCATAATCAGAGAGCACAAAAAATAATTAAACCTAACTTTATAAATTTAATGCAGTCTAAGAATTTCGAGGTATCAACAGCAAGAATACACTGTTGGAGAATAGAATGAAGCAGATCATTATTTGCGAACAAAATTTTGCTTTTACTGCGAGATACCATTAACCAAATAACTTTCAAATCATCATAAAACCTGAAAAGTATTTTAATAAACGAAATAGCTTTTGTCACCTAATTATGCAGGCGATGTGAGGGGATCGATATCCTTCTAAATATCAAAAATCGTGCAAGAAACACTAAGTCAAGTATGATGCCATTTTTTGGGTGAGCGATTTGTACAGTTGGTATTTTGTGAGGAATTGGATTTTACCATTTCTTTGGGGTTTTATTTACTCTACTCATCCTCGATGCTTGCCCAAACCACCGGATTCCAAACTTAGATGTCACTTTAATTAAATGTGTACTGCGGTTTTAATCAATATCATAATAGTTATTTCAGCCCCATTTACAATTGAAATCATTAGTATCGACTCATGTTGAGGTGGGATTAGGGTGTATAAAATTTTACATGACAGATTTCGATCACATTTTATCTCTAAACACGACAATTTATTGTGAATTGTTGTAGGACTGTCCATTGGCTGAAAGTGCGTCCTCACGACAACTCGTAAAATTTTGTTTCCTCTTTACTTACATTGATAAAGCTATGGTTTGCTAACGCACAGCTTAGGTTACAAGGTCCAAAACTTTAAATAAATCATGCTGGATTTTTGTGGCGCGTTTGACATCTTGAAATCAACGGAACACTTTTGTTTAGTGCATACTTTTTATTGACTTCTTATTTTTTTTAGAACTGTGCACTTACTTTTATCAAGCACATGCAATCTGCGCTTTTCTGGTACCTCGCTAAATGGCTTTAAAATTAACTCATACTGATGCAGTGAATTTTTAGAGTATTATAATAATGCAGGAAGCCCGCCGACATTTGGGCAACTCCAGACGATTAATTTACTTTTGCAAGACAAGTAACTTTTAAGAGGAACCATTTGGTTTTGTTCAAAAAAATAAATTCGGCGCATGGAATGTTTCTGCTTGCAGATAACGAGAAAAAGGTAGTACAACGTCTGTGAAGGTAACATACTGATACTCTGATAAACAAATTTTTCCAATTTTTTTTTGATTTAAGGGACTGGTCGGACTTCAGCTAAAGATGATCAACTGCACTTTAGGTGGGTCTTCCTTTGATAGTAGCATTGTTTCCTCCTGCGGGAATTTCCGGCAAAAATGTTTCCGTAGACCAGGAATATAGTTCCATATACTTTCATCTAACTTTGAATAAGGAAATTGCTAAGAACAAAATTTTGAAATAGAGACTCCTAATTCATGTTACGCTAAAATTTGGAAATTTTCGATTAATCTATTTTCCTATTCATATTTTCTTGAGACACATATCCACTTTTGAAGTGATCGACATTCCCAGAGTCTTCACTCAATTCGTCCCGCGTCGTTTGTTTTTCGCATGTACGATTTCGTTTATATTTTTAACTCCCGAATCCGGGTATTCCCATGATGCCTTTCGAGACTACTTTGAAAATGTTTACTACATCTTCCTTCTCATATTTTACATTGTTTTGCCCTGTTTGATATATTTCATCTTAATTTCATCTCCTCAATAGAAAATTCATGCGGTATACACACTCGTTCTCAATAGCAATTGAAAAATTTGGAGTTCTTAATGGTAAACAGTCTTATCGTTCTGCAGTTCTAGGACCTTGATTAAAGTAGGAAATTTATTCAAATATGTTAAATGGTAAGCAAAATAAATGAATGTCCCTCTTTCTCTTCATCTAGTTGTTCATTCTTTCCCTTCCAGATTCAGTAGAGATGAAAGGTACAAATGCAAACAGGTATTTGACGCAACACTTCTGCTGATGCAGTGCTTCCTCTGCCATCTCCTTTATTGCCATCCATGCGCAACCTGTAAGAACCACTCCTGGGGAACAGCGACGAAGATCGTAGGCATGTGGAGATGCTAGGTCAAAATTCCTTAATAAAGAGGTCAAAAATTCCATGTTTTGTCAAAATAAACAGTTCCAGGAGCTCTGACTTCCTGATTCCTTCTAATTAGCAATAAATTGCTCATAATCGGCTGAGAAAACCGAAGTTAACCTCTGCGTGGGGTCAAACCACCCACTCCCCGAATGCGCCTCTCTTTTTAATAGTTGAGATGAATTACATGCTTGAGAGATGCTTAGTTAGTAAAGGGTTAATGGAACAATAGTTTTGGTCAGATTAGTCGGCGGATTATTTCACATGATCGAACAGATGTCAAGTTCACTCGCTCACTGAGGAGTTACGGACAAGAAAAGTTTGCTTATTTTTAATGTCTAATTTAATACCTGCTTAAGTAGAGATGTGGTTGTGTGGCCTCTTCAGTTCCCAAATTTCAACATAAAGGAGCTCAGTTTTTTTATTATTAGTAAAAATTGATAAACTCCTTTATCAGATCCGGTTTACAAAAACGGCCTTGAGAAGCAAACGAAGGCTCTACATTTTCGTTTTATCCAAAAACTTTGGTATAAATATAATTTTAATAAAGCAGATGCCATTTTTATGTGAAGCTTTCTCTCGTTTAGTAACTCACAGCTTTGAATATCGCATTTTCAGTAATACATACATTAGATAAGCATTATCAAAAATTTTCTAGTATGTATTTAGCCTACCACAATTAAGAATATTTAACTTATACAAATTTGGACCGTGTGAAATATTCATAAAGAAGTCCTGTAAGTGAATATAATTAATAGTGCAATCCTGGCTGTACCATCATGCTAACTACTTTGGATTATTAAGTCAACTTTTGGCCAGTCTTAAGTCACAAGCGGACAAAATAAAAGTTTAAAATGGGGTTTTTCACAATCTTACTCACCGTTAAAAGTACCGATTGTTGATTTCAGAAGTTTAGTGCCTTCAATACGGATTCCGTCATGGTGTGGTTAAAGCTGACTCTTGTGATTTATGCAGAGTAGTGCCTTAGAAAATTAACTACTTTGTCTGAACCTCAAAAGTGAAAACCTAGCGGTATTGACTTAAGGAGAGTATATTTCTGCAGGCAGTTTACCTCAAGCAAGGTTGATTATACAAAATAAAAAACGATACTGTGGCTAATTAGCTAGCTTAGCTCTAAGTAGCACGAGAAATACAAATTTTTTAATTCGTTTTAATCTGTAGAATAATTTGTGATGTTTACTTAAGGTCACTCAGTTCCTTTTCAAACTGGCAAAATCTCCGATATTATGCTGCACAGCATGACGCTCGAGAGACTCTTAACTTTTCCTGAGAATAACTCTTATAGCAACAGCTTACGCAGGTCGAACTTTTTACAGGCTTTTAAAGAAAGTATACAATCATCAAAAGGCATTAAGCGCAAGTTATCCCCGGGTTTCTGCGATGGAAGAAGAAGTAAATATCGTCATCAGGAAAATTCGTTGGTTTTGCCAATAACTCAATGTGATTCAAAAAGCAAGTTGAACTTCTTACCAATGAACGCGGACGTGCTATCCAAGGGTCTATATCTCCCCCCATTGTCCTTGCCTGATTCTCTTAATTCGGCGCATTGGTGTTATACAAAGGTTGGTGTTTTTAGCGATAGATATCATCAGCTTCACAAAACAATATTTTGTTAATGTTTTTTTGCGGATTTATAGGTGACAAAAACTTTTTATGATTTTTTAATCTTTAATTACCCCTATTTTCTGTGTGAGGAACTTTCACATATTTTCATTTTAACTCGCCTAAATCCAGGGTAATTTGCGTAATCCTATAAAATTAACCGAATTTTTGCTAACATTTTTTGTAAACTGTCTTAGGCCTCCAATTGCTATGAAAAAACACTTAGTGTATGCATTCACCTCTGTGCAAATAAGTCCATTAAAGTAAACTAGTTTACCCAAATGATTACTACACCTTACCATTGATCACCTACGCCTTGTGTTTGTGCTATGCTCGATATGCGCAAATGCCCGAATTTTTAAGTCTTTTTTAATTATATAACTACTTTGCATGTGTACAATCTTATATTCCAGCACTTTTACCCAATGATTGAAGGCAATTAAATGGGCCAACTTCTCTGAGCTCAAATTGCAACATGCAATTACAAAACAGATTTTCTCAGACAGCCATGATGCTTATACGCCTATATTCTTGATCTAGCGCCTGCTTTTAGGAATCTTACCTCTGTTATTTAAAAAAATGTTCAAAAATTGTTTTAGATACCGCTCCTTGTCATTCTCTGCATTTTTTCGGATGGAATTAAGATTTATGACCATAAAATTCACCCTGGCTCATCACATATATTAAGTCTACGATATGCTAGATGTTAGTATTGAAAGGGTTTAGAACGGAATATCATGATTTTCGTGTTTATAAGTTGCAAAGCAATTCACTTTTACTTGCTTCTCTTAGAAAGGTTTGGTTCAGTACAAACCGGAATGGGTGTCGCCTAGCTTGTAACGGTTATTTCAAATGACTACTATCAATGCTTTGTTGATAGTTTAGGTTGTTTTTCTTCCATTTAAAGTTAACACAGCTCTCTGATCTCTTACCAATTTAATGACACGCGAATGAACCAACACAGAACGGGACAGTTAAATTGCCAATCGTCTAGCCATGTCAAGTGCTGTGAACGGGGCCTATAAAGATGATAAACACCATCCCACAGGTGTAGATAGGAAAGGTTATTAAAATAAACACAATCATTATATCTATCCATCATTTGGTTGCAAAGTGGTTTTGCTAAGCCCTTCTTTTCGACTGTTGACTGTCCTGCATTTGGGTAGCTTACCGCACTCCAATTTTGGCATAGTCAACATGAGCATATTCGACCCGAATTGTGGAAAATAACAGCACCAAGTCCGCCTAACATTCAGGTGAGTTTCCATCCACAGTCCTAATACGCGGACGACTGAAAGGGCCTCTGCAGTTTTTCGCCTCGCCTTCCGTCCTCCACCCCTCCCGTTCCCTCCCCCTCCTTCCAAACTCACACAATCTTCAGATACGGCCGGACAGGCGGACTAAAGGAGGGCGCTCGTCCAGCTTTTGTACAATCGAAGGCGTTTTCCTCTAAACTAATTGTTTGCGTGCCAGCGCCTCAGATGCTGTATTTCGGGGACATTTACTATTCATGGTCATATTGGTACCTACCTCTGCTTCTGATGGCGTCCACTTTTACTCCCTTGCCTTTGTCAGCATCGTCATCTACATTTGCTAATTTTAATTTAAAAAATAGTTGAATAAGTAATTTTAACATGTAAATTTTACCCCTTATTTGCATAAAAATTGTACTTTTATGTCTAAGTCCGGAGGGAACGCGTTTCTGTCCTTAATAGGGTTGCAAGACTTGTTCCATCGTCAACTTTACCACACAAAATAACGTTGATCACAAGACTGTTTTTATTTTCCTCGGAGAAGAGCCTTAGCAAAACAGTCATGGGTGGTCAACATAAGGGATAGACATCTAATTGCCTAATCAACACGTTCAACCAAGGTTAGATGTAGGATACGGGGCTGAAATCCCACCTCTTTGTTCTCTCCACATGACTTGGTAGGTCTGAGGGTATATGCTTAGCACATCCAATTTTCATGCAGCTACATTGGTAAATTTGCCCTTCCTCCTTTGGATTTCAGATTTGTCCCAAAAAGCTTGAGTTCACATGGACCATTGAAAACTTCAGTCTCTCTGTTGCTGCACCGGGTGAAACAGTGGTGTCACAAACCTTCCCCGTTCATGCCAACAAGGACTACGTATGGTAAATTAACCGCATTGATTTCGCCTTGTTTCTTATTCACAATTCCTCCTTCATGGAACCTGAGATAGCAGTATTATCCAGCAGAGGGGAGGGCTGTCAATCTCACGTCTTACACCTGGCATAGACAAACATATGAAAGTGGATATTACTCCTTTTCTACCAGGCAATCGGACCGAACAAATCGCACTTCATAGGCATGAATTCTGGCTGTAAATAAAGAGAAATGAGTAATTAAGAAATCGCCACAATGAATCTACTGATTGCGCAAAATGTCTGCGCCCTTTGATCAAAAGCGGTCCGAAAATGATCTCTATCAAATCATGCCATTTACGACAGATGGGGCGGCGCGGGGGGGCAGGGAGCATAATCCCCAAAATTTTTGTACGCTTTTTAAAGCATTGCATGAAAGGCCTATGCGGTTGCTGTTTGGCTTTCTAGTTTGGAGGTTCAAATCCCTCCGCTAAATCTATCCAAGCAGGCAATATCAGCTGGGCCCACTTAACCCTCCCTTTTCCCCCACTCCCCCTTCCGGTTAAAGGTTGCCCAATGTTAAATGAGGCGTCTCAATTGTTTATTGTAGGCTAATCACATGCTTTTATTTTTTTTTTCATACAAAAACTTCAAACGAAAGCCTTAACTCGGCCGTTTTTGGTTTCATTTATATTAAAAAGTGCTGTCTCCATTATCACTCCTATTTCCATCTTCCAATCGGTGGGAGTTTGAAGAGGAATGGCTACAAGGGTACAATTTTTTTTCTCGTCTTCATTGTTTCACCAGTAGTTAACAAGAAATTCACTCTTTCACCCAGGTTTGTTAATGTTTGACGTATGTGAGAGACGACAGTGCCACTGCACTCGCTGCAACACTGGTTAGGTGTTGACTGCAGAGGCGTGGTAGTTAACTTCCACTGTGCGGCTCTTTAGTGCCCATCCCCCGCAAAAAAAGTAAACTCAGACACAACAGCCATAGTCTGGGAAATAAAAGCCGGTTTTATTGGTCTAGCAGCTTTTATTTCCCTCAGTATATCACGTCATTGTATCCACCGCCTTGGTTCATATTAACAATTCATGAGCGGATTGGGAAACTCCCTCGTGGACCCGTGAAACTTTTGAGCTCGCTCATTGAAAACTTTTGATCTCATTTGTCAAGATGGCGATCTTGAAATGGGGAAATGATTGACGAAGAGCCGCAAGCACCCTCCGAGTCCCTCTAAGAAGAGCGTCCAGCCAATTGTCAGGTTGGAAAGAAAGCTATTGTCTTTGTAGGCCTATAAAGAGGCAGTGACGCTTTGCGCTGGCATTTTATGTGTTTGACATTAAAGTCTTATTGGGAGTGGAAGTGGGACAGCGCGCTCCTCCGCCAGTGGAACAAATTGCTTGCCTTTAATGGCCTCCTCAATGATCCTGCCCAGACTGTGCAACACACTGGCACAAGTCAAAATTGGTTTCAGCAAGGCAGACAAACCCGAAAAGTGAGAGATCTATTCTCGTCTACGGCGTGGAAGGCTGTAATGACGTCAGAGGGCAAAAAAACCAGACATTCGTTGTGTGATGGGTGGTGCAGGCATTAAACAGACTGACAAATCTCTCTGTGTCTACACCCAGTCGTGTAGGTGTCTACATCATCTCTCAACTTCCGACTACTACCCCAAACTAGAAACCACAAGTGTAGTCTCGAATCTAGCGTGTGGCGGAATGCTTCACCAAATCTTTCCTTCTTTTCCATTTCTTGCATTGCTCAGACCTAATGACAGGGCGGAGGTAAGTCCGGGTGGCATGAAAGTCCCACCAGTCGGTAGGTACTGTGCTAGGTTGGACAAAACCAAGTCGAAGTACACGCTCAGGCCACTACAACTCTCGGGAAGAAAAACAATTTACGCAGATTACGTAAGCCATTTAGGACGGAAGTCAGTGGGTTTCTTTTTTCCTTGTTGAGACATCTATAAACAATGCCAAGACGGTGCATGGAAAGGAGAAATACAATCTTGCGAGCGGAGTGACGAGCAAAACAGGCATTTTGAAGGTCACTTGCCCTCACATTCACCTACAAGTGACCTTGAGTGGTGGTTGCGGGGGTATGCGCTACACCAGTCGCAAATGGCAGATGTCTGCAAGTTGGGTCAATTGGCGGAAAAACACGTGCCTACGTGCGTACGTCCGTCCGTACAAGGACAGTCACACGTACGTACAGGGATGCACAAAAAATAGCCTTGAAATGAGAGCAAGAGACGGAGGAGGAGGACACGCAGACGGAGAGACGCTGGAAAAGCGCCTTGTTTCGTTCCCTGGTTCGCGCAAGGCCGCTCATGACGCGGCTATCTCGGAGGAAGGCGCAGCTGGAGTGGATGCCGTACTTTCTCCATGCCTAATAAGTACTGCAGCAGAGCCAAACAAAGTAGAGACTGAGGCACGGGCGGCTTACTTGTGATTACCCGGTTCCCCTCCGCGATGTGACGCAACAATTGGTAACTAGGTTGTGGGTGGGTGGATGTCCCAAGACATAGTCGGCTAATTTAAGTGAGGCGGGAAAGAGAGACACGTTGGTTTACACCGGTAGACTTTTATGTGTCTAGACACAGCTCCACTGTGTTACGGCTGGCACTGGTAAAAGGTAAGCAGAGCTACATTGATGGCTTGGTTTTATTATTCATTGAATAAAACATTTTTTGCAGCAATGTGGGTCATGAATCTACAGACTAGAAAGCCGGCTCTAACAGAGCCAATCGGATTAGCCAGGACTGCCACAAGACTCCACTGTTTAGAAGCAGAAAATCCTTCGGAAGGAGATAGCATAAACAATTTCAATCACAAGTCTGCCATCCTGGATCTCGTAATCTATCCATGGTGGACTATGATTGCAGGGGCATTTCATAGTTGCATCACCGCCTAGAAAACCGCGAAAATGATTGAGGCAATAAAAGGGTGGAACTCGCGAATGCCCATCGTAACTGCGGGAGTGGATTACTAACTCTTGTTGACATCCCGTTGACTTTTATTTTTGAACTGGTGGTGCCATCTCCGCGTGACTGTGAACTTTGTCACCCAGTCTGAGGCTTGCCTAGCACAGAAAAGTGCGCGTTTGATTTTGTCATGGCAAGGGTGGTTCTGTTGCCCCAAAATGAGGATATTTTACCCGGTACAATTGGTTCTGCTAAAGGTTTTCCGCGTTTTATCTCCTATTTCCTCCGAAATTACACCATTGTCAAACCTTCGTTTACCTGAGTTTCACATCAAAGAAGGTACAATTTACGCCGCATTTTGACTGAATTCCATGACCCCGACCCCTTTGAAAGATCGTAGGTGACAGCCTATTCTCACAGTATGTAGCTGAATTCTGTACTAAGCCACAGAGAATTTGGTTTTAATTTTTAAAATGCAGCGGAGAAAGGTATAAACAAGACGGAGTGTGTTTTGTGTCAGGCATCAGGTAGAAACACATTTGAGAAAACTTTAACTCCGATCCGGTCTTTTGCTCCGTCTTTCATGCTTTCATCCCTTTTATTTACTTCTACCTTCATGCAGTTTTTCAAGCGCTAACTCGATTTGTTCAGCAGTTCCTGTAGATAATGAAGGTCTACGTACATGTACCCACATTGTTTGGCTCTGAAAAGTAAAAACTGTGCCACCCGGGAAAGTGCAGTTAAGTAGGGGGAGATGGTTGAATGGGGTGGGGGGGGAAGAAGGGTAGAAAAATCGGACTGGTAGACGGAGGGAGTTCAAAACGCGACTAGAGCCAATTAGACACTTGCGTGTTTTGCATTTCATCTGTAACCAGTTTTCGCGCACTTCGACCTTGACTCACCTACTGGACATTTGCGCACTCAGACAGACTTCGCGTTGTTGGCGTGTTTTGAAGGCTACGCACCACCATCACCACCTCCACGGCAATCTGTGAAAGTCTCGGTGTTTTTCAATTTATCCCCTCCTTGTTTTGCCCTTTCTCACTCGACGGCAACTTGAGCGGGTAGGCGGAGGAGACGAATGCACAAAACACGCGCGACTGTTGTGTCTGAAGGTGACCTCAAAACACGGATTTTGTGGTCGTTGCCATGCACGACTAAAAGTTTGAGCTTTTGAGCTAATTTTGTTGGCACTAACGCTGCTTCCTTTGGTCGTAATGGCTGCCGCTACCCACTTGCTTGATGGTCGAGGGCTGCGCTTCCTCGAAAATTGCTTTTACGGCAGTGATGTAGCCATGTTGTGAAACAGATCCCATCATCGCCGTCTCATTTTGTGTGAGTAACCCTTACGTACTTGTACATGAGTGGCTCCAATGGCCTTTCATGCCCAGTATACTACTGGTATATTTTTAGGCAGTTCTCAAGGCAAGATTCCTGTTAAAATGCAGCCGGCATTTCAAGGGAGTTGGTTCAAGTTTAAGATTTCCTTCTTTTTGAGTCACGGTCAGTTAGGATTGGTCGCCATTGAAAGATGTTAAAGATGTGGACTTGTTTTCCTCTACTGTCGTTTCACTGCCTATCTTTGGTTTCTTCTCCATCGGCCGAAATAGAAACGATGTTTTTTTCTGGCAAAAAAGACACCGCTTAGGTTTATTGTCCACACGGAGTGAAGGAGAGAGTAATATAATCCGTTGGTGGCATTTCTAATGGGCAGCGGCACGCAAATGTGGCGTCTGAGTTACCTCTGAAGGAGTTATAGTGCTTAGGCGTCTAAAAATAACTGGATTGTGCATGGAAGACGGCAATTAAGATCCGGGCGAAAAGCAGGGTAAAGACTTTGTGCGTAGTTCAGGTGCCAAACAAAGGAGCTGCAGGACCAGTGGTAGTTGGGCAGTGAAGGATGGGAATTGTCCACGCAGATGAATAAATGACATTCCCTTGCCCCTCCTCAAAGGTCACTTCATGTGGCTCCCCATGGCAAGTGTTCGGAGCTGCGAGACTACGTGTCCGTGTGTTTGGTGATGGAATCGAAGAGGCAACGAGATGGTCATCCTCCTCAAACCCCAACTGCCGCTGCCTCTCTCCTTCCCGCCCGCTTTCGATGCAGTCTGCTGGATCAACTCGACAGGGTGGCCTACACCAATGGTAGGTGGAATTCCATCGGAAGACACCCTTTTTTGATATTAAGGCAACAAAAGTGAGCAAAAAGTGTCTAGGACGTGGCGATGGATAGATTGCCTTGGAACTTGAAAATCTGTGGGGTCCCAAAGTCATATTGCAAGAGACAACAATTATCTCGGTTTGGTCAATTCATGGAGCGTAGAGCAAAGATGATAGATATGTCTAGTAAATGACATTAATTGTTCGTAAAATGTTTAAATTAACTTTAAATAACAGCTTAGCTCTAGAGGCCCTTTTGCTGAGTCATAGTGATGGCGAATTTTATCAATTACTTCTTCCATGGCCATCTCTATGGCTTCGGGGGACTCCCAAAGGGTTGCAGTGATTCAATAACCGGGAGCCGTAAATTTTTTAGCCAAGACGAGTATTTACAGACCCCTAGATTATAGTCATTGTACCTGTTTACTGGCAGACTTGTCAGAGGGATGAAGTTTTTTACTCAAGGAGGATTCACTCGTAAGAAGGTAGTGGATTTAGCTAGATCCTTTCACAAATTCTCCTCCTTTGCTAGCTAGCTGGTCTGTCCCGCGAGAGACGAGTAAAGAGGCCCCCTTTTAGATGGCAAAAGTGTTGACGGAAGTCATTGCCGAAATAAGCGTCTTGGTACTTTCCAGGAGTAGTGGGAGGCAGGAACATCGTCTCAACAGTATGCCTGGTTTTTCTGTCATTTGGCCCAATTTTTTGCGCGCGGTGAAACAGCATAATCGCCTAATTTACGTTGTGGAAAAGTGCTACCTTTTTATTGCGACCACACATTTGATGCAGCGCAGTATGAAGGCGCGCGGTTTTTAGGAAGTGTGCACTACCTCAGGGAACGCCAAAATCGTGGGCCAAATTAGGTGGGAGGTTTCACCTTTTAGGGAAACAAGCCTAATTAGGAAGTGTTAGAGGAGATTTGAGAAAAAAGATATTGCCTAGCTAGGCTTTGGGTCCGCGATTCCTGTCAAAAGACATCCAGTCAGACAGACGGCGCCTATTCCACAATTCACCTCCACTGTTTAAGTATGGATGGGCCTTGACGGTTCCCCTTGAGGCGGTAGCATTGAATTCGACCACCTTGAACCACAGAAAATGCGAAACTTGATTCTTAGTTTCCTGAGCTACTGACAGGCTAATAACTAGGCGAGCGAGGAGAGTTTCATAAATTGGCGGTACTTCTAAGAAGGCCTGTTGCCGTGGTGGTATGCCAGATGCACCCTATTAATAATAGCGGGTACACGTGTCATGGGCCGGTCATCAAGGTGCCAGGCCGCAGCGGTATTGAGTGTTTGTACTACCACCGTGAACATTTAACCAACTTGTAGAAGGTCTAATTGTCAATTAGCCTGATTTTGGGCAAGAGGCGAATCTTTTAACTGCCAAATCAGGCAGATGAACACAATTTAGCAATTTCGGTGACGAGGCAGCCGTTTCTCTCAATCGGCACCGATAATGAAACGAAGCCGGGCTGTCCTGGAATGGTTTAGCCATACCACCACGTCGTGGCAGGCTGTAGTCATGTTCGTTTTGGCAACTACATTAACCTCTACAAGTACGCATCAATTTAGGCCTTTATTGGTCAAAGTGCCAATCTCCTTATCACTGACCCACCTCCATCGGCAAGAAATGTTTTGAAAGTGTCTCTCAGTCTCTTGAATTTAGCCTAATTATTGTGCGATCATTGTCTGTGGAGTGCCAGGAGTGAGGTGACTTCTGTTTTCTGTAACTCCTTCTCCATAATCAGGGTGAATGGTGACGAGGTTACTTTCATCCCTTGCGGCTTAGAGAGACCGTTGTCTTTCATCCAACAAATGTTTATCGCAGGTAGATAAATGGATAGGTAGGTAGGAGCGTCGGTAGGGTACAGTACTATTTCATCTTTTACGTCCACTCCAATCACTTCCCCACTTTCTGGGATGAGAATAATGGACCTTAGGTAAACAAACAGGAGGCAAAACCGTGTCAATTTTCCCCCTTTTTTGATCACTTTCTTTTTGGCTTGTTTATAACCGATCTCATTAGTCTCTGACCGCCGACTCAATCTCCGCCTTCACTCATTACTATGTGTCTTTTGGCTCCACGGCCTGCTGTGGATGTTGGTGGAAATTTGGACGTTCGTGTGCTCTCCTTACTTTGTACGGAGAAATGAATTCCCATCAAAGGATTTAAAGTGGCCTCTAAACATATTTCGAGAGGTAAATGCAAATTTAGAAGCAAAATTTGTGAATTTAGGAGTTTGTAAGCGAAGAAAGTCGCGAATCATTTGTTCTCTCTAGTTGGTTCGGAGATGCGACTTTTGAAGTGGGTCGTCGTACCTTGCTTCACCGTGATCCCAGGAGCCACCGTCAACTGAACCTAGAATAATCCACTAAAGTATTTCAAGCTGAATCTATGTTGCTAATTTTTTTTTTTGGGGGGGGGGGGGTGAATTAACTATTTATTTAACTATAGCATCTCTCTCCCTTGGTTGCTTTAAATACCCCTTTCGAGATGGGGGAAATTGCTTTTCCAAAAGAGAGATGAAAAAGGCCTGAAATTGCAATTTTTTGGGTGAAAAATCCACCCCAAGGTCGTTTTTCCTTCTCAAGGGATTTGCATCAACAGCACTGGGTTAAGCAATAATCACGGGAGCTAATTACGTTGGTAACGTGATCTACTACTTAACTTCAGTCAGTAGAATTGTGCTGTGGTAATGCTAGTCTTAAAACGTTAACTAAAAACCCAAAGGAAATACAAAAACTTGACTTTTTACCATTTGAATGCTGTTAAACTATTGGTGCTTTTTTCTTTTTTAGAAACAGAGCGATATCACCTTGTAGGTCCAAAAATGGGTCTGGGATTTTGCCGTTTTGTTGAGCGATCTCGGCTCTACCCACCACCAGGCGTTGACACGAGAAGTACGGCGGTGTCGGGGCGGAAGGATGGTCCACCTGCAGCTTCTGCAACACTAACCACAAATGATCATCTTCTTGTTGGACCCGGTGACCGCGTCAAATTTTTTGCCGAGGTCAGAAATACTGGATCTTTTTAATTTGCCTTTCTTGATCCTCAGATCATCATCCATCCGCCCGTAGTCCTCCACGAACCTTTCATTCGATAACGAGCAAAAAAAAACTTGACCTTATTGCGTGTCTCTAAAGTTCCGAACAAAAAACAGTTTCTTATGAATGTTGGCTAATCGTTCTCCTTTTTCTTTCCCAACTTTCCTTCCACGCCCAGACTCGTATTTGCATGCGGGTTTTCTTAATGGCATTTTTGGGGAATTTTACCCCCCACGCTTCTAACTTTAATGAGCGGTGAGCGCGGAGGTATGCCACTCCCAAGGTCGAAATCTCATTCCACCGCCATTTCACGCCTTTTGGACATGCGGAAGCTTGGAAAACATGGTGAAATCTAACCTCGTGATTACGTATAACTTTCCGACCATAACCCTGTAGTACTTGTCATTCCCAAAGTTGTTGCCCTTCCAAGATGGGACTAAGGGGAGCCTCTGTTAAACCACCTCAGCCTTTGCGCAGTTGAATAAGGCATGTATTGTCTCCTTGGGAGAAGAGAGAATTGAATCCACAGGCTACGTCCTGTTTGCTCTCAATTGACAAGTAGTGGCCTTATGTGTCTGCACAAGTAATGACCCGGAAAACGGCGTGAAGCTCTGCATAGCCTGCCCGAAGCTTGTCGTACTGAGGCCTTCCGACGTCCAGAATTGATGCCTAGCCATCTTCATGCCATGTCTAGTAAACGTATTGAAAGGTAAACGCCAAAGCAGCTACCGCCAATAACCTCGCCATGTTTTCCTGCATGAGTTAGTTGAGCATTGGGAAATCGTCTCAAGGTTGCCTGCCCCACCTACTGTGTCATGTGCGGGATCGGGTCGCCTTGTTGTTTGTGTGGTTGTGTTGTGTATGACACAGTTAATCGACAAGGTCGGTCAGTTTCCGCCGAGTAGGTCACAGCTGCCCCAGACTCAATCCTCCCCGGCCCCCTGCCTCACCCCTTGATGTTTGCCTTTGTTGTGCCTGTGCTTTTTCTCCACCTTGCCTCCAGCTCTGTTAGCCACTTTGCGAGCTTGATTTAGAGGACATTTTTCCTTTTTTCTTTCCTGTTTGATCACAAGAATGCCGATGTTTCCCGCGTGTCTTTTGTTGTCAAATGTTTTCGAAAACATCACTCGAATTGCTCATCCGAAGATGTTTTGCTGTTCGCGTGAATCACAAAGCCTCCACGTACACAGCGGCCTCATATCTAGAGGTGAAATGGTCTTTTAACTGGTTCCAGTCTTGATCGGTGAGGCAAGAGCTGCGGGAGGCTCCTTCATTGAAACCAAGGTAGCCTTAGAAATACGAACGCAATGCTTTACAGGTTCTTGTTCCGCCATAGGAAATAGTAAGGAATTCAATACACCAGTCCGAAGGCAAATGCACGGAAGGTTCATACGAGGTATCGTCTTAGGGCTGCGTGTCGAAGGAGCTATAAAATTTATGGATGTGAAGATAGCTAAATCCCGTAGGGCCTGCAGCATGAGTGGTATGAAGAGACCTCCACCCGCCATCAGGACTCCAAGGTGCCCGCTTATTACCATATACAAATAAAACACTTGTCCTTGAAATGCATCTGTTCTACACCCCACATTAGATATTCTGGATTGAAGAGGAGGTCCACACTTCCGCCTCTGAAGACATTCCCTCCAATGCTGATTCCATGGACGGTTGCGACTGTCCTTCCGAAGTGCAGACGTCTACAGACCTTCACACCGACCTCGAACGCCTTCTCCTCTCCAACTGTCTGGCTGATGTCACGGTTACTGTGGCTACAACAGCAATGCAGAAGAAGTGTAGCAGCACTGCTCTTGTCGACATCCCTCACCTTTCCTTCCCCATAGCTTGCGACTGCAGTGACTGCGTAGCACCAATGCAAGGCACCCTTGAATTCCACGCACATAAGGCAATACTAGCTGGTAAATTTACCCACTTCTTGGGTGACTAAAAATTATCAGCAACAAATAATTCGAAAGTAGTTTCACGGTTATCAATGTGGCATCACATAATACGATTCTCGAGACATTGCAGTGGATTTAAACCCAGTTCTATTGATTAAGGTTGGTAAACCAATCGATTTGCAAGGGGTGAATACTACTGAAATGTGGAGAAGTTATTTTAGTAGCACTGACACTTGTTGCATTTTTTTCAGGTATTTTGATTTTTTTGATTTTGCAGAGCCACTAGGCATACGAATCTGGATGCAGATTTAGTACAAATGTACAGAGCGATAAAGATACCACCGGTGTAGGAGCTATGGGTGTCGAATCCAAATGGCAGGAGTGTGAAACGGCTCACAAATTCAAATGTGCAACCAAAACAGCTGCCTATTAGCCACAATTCTAAAAATTTTTTTTTCCAAAGCCACAGTATAGTGGACAGTAAATCCTTTTTGCGTGACACCTTGTTTAATGATAAGCCAGAGTGGGAAACGCAATTGAATGTTTTGAGATAAGAAAAACAATCCTAAGAATTTTTATCCCTGATCACGCCTTCATTATTGTCTTAGCCGCATCTCCAAAGCTCCTGCGAATATTCTCGTCCAGAAACGCTGGCCAGCTTCGTGAGGCCACGCGGAAACTTGTGTTTTGTGGTTCTGGCATCAATTCTGACGTGATCCCGATTTTTCTGCGCTACGTTTACACCAATCGAATTGATCGGGCAGTGAGCCACACCCAGCTGGTCTCCCTCCTTCGGCTGTCCTATCAGGTGAAGTAGGAAATTTACACTTTAAAATACACCATTGGAGGGTAAATGGACCGGCTGAGTTGTATCTCAGTCTGTTACATACTACTCAAGTACAAAAGTAGCCTCACCATAAACTGAAAGAGAGCCAGGAGACTACTAAGTCAGTGCTTTATGTCGCTGCCTTGGGGGCTGCAATGTCAAATATTATCTTGTTGCGTAGTTCGCCCTTATCTCTTGAGCGTCGTCCTCATAGTCCCTTCCGCCTCTCCCTCGGTGGTTAGTCTTCCAATTCGGCCGTTATAAGATACCCCAGTAGTTTATAAACACCTGCGAAACGGCCGAACACTATGGTAGAATTTCAAACAGGAAGACTTCCAAATCCATTAAAAGTTCCCATTTTGAACTATATCATGTGGCATCATTCGATACATGTGTGTTACTGACGGTGAAGCACTATTCCACATTTCGTAAATCATTCGCCTCTCCGATCGAACTTCACCAAGGCGGAAAAGTCACTTACGGCAAAAAGCGATTATGTAGAACTACGTTCTGTGCTAAGGAATCTTTAATTTTTATCACTTTAGTGCTGCCCATCGACCTATCGAGGTTAGCCTCGGCTTCTTGTCCCATGCAGAGGCACCCAGTCTTTACAGCTTGAGCATCATTAACAGTTTCCTCATAGACGAAGGCCACTGGTGACAACTTTCAACTCGGTTAAGTGAGATGGTACTTAAGGACTGCCATTTGTACAGAACTGGTTGCCTAAAGTAGTTATAGGTTTACCATCCTTCGTGTAGACGCTCTTTCCTTCATGAGCAGGATGCAGTCGGCAAAATGGGGATCCTTGCTATTTTGGAATAAGTTCATCCACGTTGTTAACGACGTAAAGCTTGAGTCATTGCTGAAGATGTTGGAATATACCGGTTATGATCATTATAGGGCTTGGAGGATAAGTAACGTAGATGGCATGAGCAGAGCTCCATGTCAATGGTAAAGGGGCTGATTTGGGGCAGTTTTTTCCTTTTTGACGGTAAAATTTAGGGTCTGAAGGATGAGAAGTGTGCTAGGCAGTTGTGAGAATCAGTTATATATTTCCACTAGACCTGCTTGGAATAGGGGAGATTCAAGGGCCATTCCAAGGTTTAAACTTCTCCAGCTAGTTATAAAACAGCAACTTTGTTATTTTTGCCTACTTATTTGAGAAAGACAATACAAGTGATAGCGCTGGAGAAACACTGGACCATCAAAAGAACCAACATTAACTTCCTTGGTGATCTAGACCGCTCACTATTTGCGATTTATGGGTATAAATAGCTATTTGGAACACCTGTTCATTCGACGTTTGGATACGCCCCACACTTGTGTCATGCTGACGAGAAGTGACCAACACCAAAAAGTTTTTTTTTTCGCTTAGATTGAATAGCAACTACGCTCGGTTAGTGGCATCATAGGTTGCAGATAAATTCAACCCTAACTACCACTATCCGAATTCAACTTTCTCCCCTTATTTGCTCATTTACAAGTTTGGCATGAACAGAACATCGGTTGTGCGCCTACTTAAACCTATAAAGTTACGTGCCCTGGATTATGCATGGTCCTATGGAAAGAGCTATAAAAAGGCAAAATTCGGAGATAAAATGCAGAAAAAATTGCCCTGAACAGTAATAAGGCACCCTCAGTAGATGAAAACTCGAGAACTAATGGGAACCTGGGAGCTATGGTTCGTGATTTCGAGAGACGAGGCATTCTACAATTTGACGATTTTTACCTTCAGCTTGAGATGCCCGCACTCGCCAACTTGGTTGAGCAGAGACTGGGGAGAATCCTTTCAGCGCAGAATGCCTGCTCCATTCTGACGGCAGCGATGGATTTGAGGGTGCAACAATTGGTTGATTCCTGCCTCTCCTACGTTTTCCGGTAGGCTAGTTATTTTGTCAAATCACTAAGTCTGCTAGTGAAGTACTGAAAAAAATAATGAGCAGACTGGGCAAATTTACATGTAGATAAATTGTAAATAAGAAATTATGGATAAACTGTGATATTCTATATCCATTCAATGTGTCTTTTGGTGCTTTGAAACGGCATTTTGTTTACCCCTTTTACCTCTCAAAAAGGCGCAATTTGACATGCATTACCTGTTACCGTGATATGTGAATAGGAGTGTAGGAAAGACGTGTTACTCAGCCCTGTATATTAAATCGCAGGCATTATGAATTTGCTTCCGTTTTTATGTGTCCTTCTCCGCTCGGTGGTGTAGTAAAAAAGGGCAGAAGTAAGTAAAACTGAGCACTTGCCAAGTAAATATTAAATGTCAGAATTTGGGATAAAAGCGACGCAATCATCAATCAAATTGCCTTTGCTGCAGCACTTTGGTTGCCGCGGAGGAGCGGTTTGAGGTATGCAGATCTGAAAGTGACTTTGTTATAAACACAGAGAGGGTCACAAGACTGGTGAGAATGAAGGCTCAATACTTCCACGAGGTTCGCAGACTTGGGTCAAGAACCTCGTTTTGGCTATCCAAAGTAGAAAGAAATACCGTTCTTGTGTACAGTCCTACTCAAGCTCTAATTAATTTGTTTAACGACTTATGATTGATGAGTTGCCCGGAAGCGATGGCGCCTTAATCACTCGAGGAAATTTTAAACCCCTGTGCTATTTTCGCACAGAAACCAGGTAAATTGCAAGTAGATTCCAACTTTAAATAAGTTGTGACTTAAGTGGCAAGAGGAGGCAAAAATTAGGCACGATTTTCAAGACAGCTGAAACGAGCCGTGGCTTTGTGGAGGATTTGCTTGCCTCTTTGAGCTACTTCCACATTTCTTTTTGGTCATGGTTGCAGTTTTTCAGACAACCAGACGCTAGAAAAATGTCCAAGTTCTAGTAATTGAAAGTATTCAGAAGCGCTCAAGAATCAGTGCTTCACCGGGAGCTGCGTCAAACAATTTTGACAATGGAATTTCACCAGGATTTCAGGGAAAGCCAGATAGGTTGACAACCGATAAAATCTAAATTATATCGTCCTAACAATCTGCGTCGATTTGTGCCATCTACTGTCTCGGTAATTCGGTCGACTTTTCAAGGTAGGAACAGGGTTTGCTTCCCATGTGCAAGGTTCACTTTGGTTTCTCTAATCGTGAGCCAGGTGTGCCTGACCCTACCAGGAGTGCAGATTTTGGTGCCTTTCTTCGGGATTTTTTAAGTTTTACAAATTTTGACTGCAAAACTCTTACGTTGGGCATGCATGTGTATGTGTAGCGCAGCAGGCAATGCCAACAGACCTTGAGATGAGGAGCCCTGTGATTGGTTGACAGGCCGTGTGTTCTGCTTCTTGGACAAGGGCACATACACTCACACATTACCCATCCACACACAAAATGAGTCAGTATTCAGGGAAAGAATACCCATACGCTTGGTCAGAAAGCACCTCTATTTTTCACACCGCCTTGGTGCCATCTTGTCAGAGTGCTGTAGTGATGACCTTGACAGAATAGTACTTCAACTAAAGTGACAATTAGGCGTAAGGGTGGGGATGAGTAAGGAGGCAGCGGAATCGCTTTGATGTCAGGGCTACGGAGGCCTCCGCTATTGCAGCAAAAGAAGTTTTGTGTACCTTGGCCAAGCGAATAGTTACATTTCACTTATCACATTCTATTTAAGAAGATCATGTCTGTCTGAATAATTTAGCAATTGGTACCGTAAAAACTTCAGCTATATGTAACAAATTCAAACAAACTTACCAAGTTGGTGCCATTTTTTCATCTTCTCTAGAAACGCAGAGAGCATAATAGACTCCGTCGGTTACCAGAGCCTCTGTACCAAGAGGCCGGATATTCTGAGCCTCCTCTTTTGCCAACTCGCCCGCTACAGAAGTCGATTGCCCTTCCCTACCCTCCTATTGCCCCATCCTCTCCCACCTCCTCGTTCACCTTCGCCTTCCCTTCCGAAAAATGTCATACCTCCTCCTCGACCCTTCACTTTTGGCGAGGGTGAATTCAACAGCAACTCCACACTCACCACGGATTCCACCTCAGGTCTTTCATCAAACCACAAAAGATTCATGCAACCCTCTTATCAACGACAGTTCAATGCGGTCTTCTCACTTGACTGAATTTTTTGTACAAGGCATTCAGACAATCTTCTACAGCCATTCCTTCCCAGTGATAATCGGCAGTAGTACATAGTGAAATGCTTTGTCTCAAATATATACGGGCAAAAAAGCATTATAATCGTCGGTAAGGTGAAGGAAGTGGCTGTATTGCGCATTTTGCAATAGCCAGGGTTTCCAAACGAATAAGTGCGTTTATGCTGTGGCTGAAGGGCCGCGTGTAGGGAATCATAAAGAATGAGCATGGCCCTGTTATTTAGCCACGAGAATGAGGTTGCCGGTGAAAACAACCCCGCTTATTGCCCACAAAAGCAGAAGAGTGCGGGAGTTCGATGTGCTTCCATGGGGAGCATAAGTTTTGCAGGGGCAGCAGTTAGACTTGGTCAGCGCTGTCGTTTGCTGCATTCGAGATATGAGATTAAGGTGCAGTGTAGGTACTCAAATAACCATTTTTTTATGTATCAGGCGATGCAATAACTACGCAAATAAAAAGTCAAATTACTTAGGGATCAGGATAAATAAAGTGGTTAAAATGAAATGGAGGAATACAATGCTTTAGTTACTGCCAATTCAGATAGTCATACATACAAAATGTAAGACAGCAATGCAATAATGAATAAAACTACCATCAAATATCTCAAAGTCACGAGACTCGGGGGATCGTAGCATCTGGCCCCTTGGGTCTTCCCTGAACTTGGGGCAAGCCAGCATTAACGAGGAGGAAGACTTATTATAAGTGTACAGAAGGATCCAGATGCCAAACCACAATCACAAAGCTTTTTTATGCAGCAAAAGGTTCAACCTACAGAGTTTTAGGTGGCCACGCTATCAAAATGCAGATAAAAGGGTTATCACATTGCTATAATTGCATGATGTATACTTCAAAGCCAAGTAGTAAACATAATAAATTTTTTTAGAAAAATTACATTTTAATAATTAGTTTGTATAATAAAATCGTTTTTCACACAGGGGCACTACTGCAAAAATGAAGTTTACAATACTACTTCTAAAGTGGTGAATGACTGTTACAAGTGTGCAAAATTTAACTAATATGCAATTTAAAGGGTAAATTCTTGTTAAACAAATTGCGACTTAAATATACTTGCCTTTTTGCTTTAGGTTAGCTTTGAATAAGCAATTTGGTAGTCCTCACTACATTGTTTGAGCCAATCTCGAAGATCAACGAAAATGCGCGGGTTCCCCAAAGGCACACTGAAATGAGTTGTTTTCCGTATTCCTCGAAGGATATAAAAGGTGTCGAGTACCGCAAACCTTTTCTCCAGGTATTGACATTATTAGGATTATACTATTAAAACCTTCCGTGCGGTACCGTCGTTGGTCTCATATTCTCGGAATTACTATTTTCATTGCATTAAAACTATTTGTTTTAGCAGAGTCTCTTCCAGTAAGCTTATCTTAACCCTTACTTGGTATGAAACTTTTAAATCTGTGCTACTAAATGAGATTTACGCAATAACTAGACCCTAATGATCTACTTTGATCAAGATTGGATTAGTTGTTGAACTGTATTCCCAGGCCTCTTAGGCCCACTATTTGCTTTATGAATCCTAGTACAATTTCTGGCATTCATGCGCTCTCGATATTCCCTTTTTTAGCCGTGGGACGCTTACAACGCGGACGATGACTCCAATTCCTTCAAGTCGTCGGCGGTAGATCCTGCAAATCGAACCCCTGCTCCACCACTGCGCACCACCAGCACGGCTTCCAGTAGCGGTGCCTCAAGTTCAGGAGTTGGAATGGTGAGCGACGGGGGTGGGTTGCCAAATTTTTTTTCCAAACCCTTGCCCCCTACGCCGGGCAGTGAGCGACGCGAGAGACGCGTCAAGAGGGGTAAACAGGGTGCCAGTTTGGCCCCACCGCCATCTCTTCCCAACATCTCCCTCCCTATGAAGGTGCACCATGAAGTCCATGTTACCATTGATCCAAGCAGCGGCGAATTTAAGGTGCGTACTTTTTGACTTTCTTCCTAGTATTTGTTTATTCGACTATATCTTTCCTACCATGCTGACGAATTTTGGCATTGTTTGAATCCATAATATTTTGCTGGATATTTTGAACTTCCACTTATGTAAATTTTTCAGGAAGTGACGAATTTTGCTACTTTTACCATAGTTCACCTTTTATCTCCATGCAATTGATTCGAATTTTCAGCTAATTCTCACGAGCTCCAGTATGTCATCTCAGTTAGTGAGTATTTCTAACTCTTTAAGGCAACATTTTAATTTTCTTATTTAATCAATCAAGAATGGGAATTTTGGGATTAAAGTAGCCACGTGAAGTCGCTGGTAGGCACCGACATTTGCTTATACTTCGAATTTTGGGGCTTCAAGTAGGCGTTTATTTTTGCATTTCTGCGTCTTTGACTGTCCGGACCATTCTCGTAATTCCAATCTTGTGCTGCATTTCAATTTATTGTTTCGATTTTGAAATGGGATTTACTTAAAGTCTTTGTTGACTTAAAGTTAGCTCATGCTTTTTAACTCCTTTGTGAGTAGCGGTGATATTTGCTTGTTTACTGTCGGCATATTTGTTGATCAAATAACTATGCATTTTCATCCCCTTAAAAGTCTGATTCTTTTTCGAACACTTGAACCTTTGATGTTTGAATTGCTGAGTCGACGGTAGCCTAAGTAAAGTTATTGTATTGTTCGAGTAGTTTTCTAGTGCCAACCATCACTTTTCCTCGTCATTTGTCACATTCACGGACTTTTTTTTCATTATCCCATAGTAGATCTGACAGTTCGAGCTAAGAAACCTGATGAAATAGCAAAATCGGGGGATGCCTCTGGCCTATCTCTTTTCCGCATTGTCAGACATTCCATTTTACTTGTCAAAATTTAGTTTGTAGAGTTGGTCACAAATAAGTTTACAGACAGTGGTTTCGAATTTGTACGTTATTTCTCCCTGCATTTGCGATTTTTCGGATCTTTTACTCACAGTCACTTATCGAGTGGTTTTATATAATAAGGATTGGACTTTTTAGCTCACAAATTTGAAGAATCGAGTAGTCATTTGACCTTGTGTGATAGGTAATGACAGTGAGGAAGTAATGAATTTAATTTCCTCCTTGGGATTGTAAATGCAACTTTTCTCACATATTTGTGGCTAAAGTTACCGCTAATGTTTTTGTTAAGACAGCTAAAAGGAGTAGGCGTTTGAGTTCGCACGCTAATGCAATCGCGATTCGATTGAACCTTCATGGGATACGATTTTAGTGAGAAGGGGGTAAATTTTATTCTTTCCTTCGGTTTGATGGGTGCACTTATCATTAGCTCCTTTCCTTTATGAATTACCTCGGTCGATTGTAGGTCCTACTTTGACTCTCGTTTTTAACTTCCCAATCCATAGGCAATAGGGTTTTCGATCTGCTCTGCTGAATGAGTAAATCAGGAAATTTGACCTCAAAATCTACTGAAGTCGGATATAATCGGTGATTGCATTTCTAGTATATCCCTTGGACCCCATTGCCAGATGAAGTTGTTAGAAATTGAAAATTGCAGTGGCTTTTCTGGTAGCGCGTTGGTCTGATACGGGCTTGCATATCTGAGCACACAGACTACAGGTGGCTGAAGTCCAGCACAGTCAGTGATAACATTTGAGTTGTAGAAAATTGACAATTTTCTGTCCCCTCTTTAGCCTATAAGTTTTGTATTTCTGGATACTTTAATCCCAAACCACCGTTAATTCATTTTGGCTGCTATTATTTGAAGGTTTAGTACCTACGGTTGAGCTTCCAATCTTTTCCACCGGTTCTTAATGGGAAGTGGGGTTACTAAACGACTAATTCATTCAAATCCGTCCTCTTGGGATTGCGAGTTGTGAATTTTCTTATATATTTTAAGCTTATTTCCCTAAAAAGTTGAGGGTATGGGCATCTGGTTTCAACCAATTTCATGATCGTAATTTTAACCGTCAGTATCAGGCGACCAAAAAGTTCGTGCGGTTTTTGGTTCACCCCACTGCAGTGACGATACAACCTGTAGAGACATGTAAAATGGACATGGTCGTTTATAATTATGCATTATAAAGCAGTCTTTTGGTACGATGCTCTTTATTATGCATCCAACTATTTACCTCTTCTTTCTAACCCTCCCATTTACACAGTGTCGGTTAGATGTGAAGGATGTGACTCAAACTTGCCTGTGCTGCGAGCTGAATTGAAGCTGAAGTGCCAATAGGAACAGGAGATTCACGTCTAATTTATTGTTTAGCATTTAAAGAGAATGCAGCAAGGGTCAGCAGATCGTGTCACCCAAAAATAGCTTAAGCACATGAATAATCGAATAGGGGAATAAACAAATAAGCACATGAATTCTTGTAATAAATCACTTGAAGGACGATGCACCACGCCCAAGAAGATCCTCGGTCCTCCATTCTCCACCCCCAATCTTTGATAACAGTAGGGCATATGCTTGAAGTTGTCAGTAACATGTTTAGTAATGTTTAATACGAGGAGGGTTATTGAAGCAATCGGTTTGCACGTACTCCAAATGGAGAAGGAGAGTGGTGGTGAAAGTCAACTGAATCAGTTTCATCCATGGGTATTAACAACAAATAACAGACAACAAGTCTCAATAACTGTTAGTTTGATGCTCTTGGATTTCTTTCACACGCTACGAAAATACAGATCGACTGACTGACTGACTGCCAGACAGACTGGCTTTTGATGTGAAATTGCTTTTATATTCCAAAGTACGTCACGCAAACGCTCCAAAATGTCACTAGTAGAACCTAAAAGTTTCACTCGCTACTAAACACACACGTCAAAGGTGCACTTCTCTTTGTCTCCACAATGCTATGCTTTTGCGTGTGCTTGTGAGTGTGTTCAGTGGATTGTAAACAGTTCATGACGAATTTCTTGCTAAGGCCCAGGCAACAACGGCTGCTACCTCAATGCATCTCGAAGTTGTGCAAGAAAAACTACTTCAGGAAGAGCCAGAAAAATCGGCTTTTTTCCTACAAAATAACACAAGGTAGACAACATAGACAAACTTCCCCTTAAGAATAGGATAGGGAGATGGGAGGATCCTAACTTGTCTTAGTCCTTCCTATTTTCATGATGATATTTACTCGAGTGACTAATATCACCCTATCGTGACATCTGACGATCGCATTCAAAGTAGACGATTGGAAGTCAAAGTGAGATAGAAATCGAGGTGGCTAGAGTTAGACTTTCCCGGCTTGGGAGACAAGGTTTTTTTGCATAAGTGAACACCACAGCAGCCTTGATTGTAATGGTGGTTATTTCACCAACTGGAATGCCTAAAGAAGTTTTCTGCAGTTGCTTATCCCCTTTCATCATCATTATCCTCTATTTTTATTCTATGGAATTCTGATGAAGGAAGCGATTTTGGTGAGTGAAGGACTAATTCGAATCCTCTTCCGTAGACTCTTTAAACTTTGCTTCCTGTTAATTGGCTCTGTTTTAAAAGCTGAAATGCTAGGCATTTGAATTAAATGCTATAGTTAGAAGCCCGAGCTGCTACTTATAATTTGTTGTTAGTGAGAAACGTGTAAATGTGGAGCTTTGTTTTTTAAAGTCAAAAATTCGGCTGTTTGTTTTGTTCTCCCCCTCTCTCTGCAATTCAGGGTAAGCTAAAAGTCTGTTATTGAAGCTCAAAATTAAACAACATCAAGTTTGGTTTATGTTTGTATTCCTAAACTACTTTATAAAGTCTCATCGAGAGACGATATTGCCCCCCTTAAGCTCATTCTCATTGACTCCAAAATTGGAGATGGGCTATAATCAAGGTTTGGGTTTCTCTTCTATTATTAGTGGGGAATTGATAAATTTGAATTCGTACTCTTTGGCTCGCAATTTTGAACGTCCACTTCTTCTCAGGGCATGCCGGCCGGATGGGCTGCAATGCTGCGCAAGGCGGGCATATCCATGCGCGATCAGCAGCAACACATGGAGGTTATTTGGAACGCGCTAGAAATCTGCACCACCAACAAGTCCACTGGGACGGTCAAGTACATGAATGACCTCTCCATCAATTCCAGTAAGTATTACGCCACTGTCTTCCACTCCCGCCTAGAAAACAGTCATCTGACCTGATTTTGCCCTCTATTCCACATAAAAGTCGCGAGCGCCCTACTTTTTACGGCACTTAATCATTTTGATTGTTGGTGTCCTACCACTCCCGCCATAGATAAGACCGATTTCATTTACAGTGTTGTCTGGGCAAGTTTTCCACTCAGTTTTCGGACGTCAAAAAGGAGATTATTTAGACGTAAACTTGATCTAGTGGCGAGGATTCGTTGTGCGGTTTAATTTAAGATCTCTGCACAAAAAGTGATTTATTCAATTCATCCACCGCCATCCTTCTTATTTCACCGTACTGTAGCGGCGTTAAACTTTAATCATACCCTTAATTATCCTTTTGATCATCACCATAGGAGATGCTATCCCAATTTTGTTTGATGAGTTTAAGGTAGAAAAGAACAATTGAAAGTGACCAGTAAAAAAAGGAGGTAGTTGGAATTTTTGCAACACGTAATCGACAAAGGCCCAAGTACGCTTCCCCATCAAGATACGAGAAGTTGAAAAAAGAAATCAAGGAAGTGGATTTCAATTGTAAGACAGTGGGTGTGGGGTAAACGGACCAACAAGGGGGGGAAGCGGGTGGTTTATAAAAGAGGCTACAAGAATTGAGACGGACCGCCCAACTTTATCGCTTCTCACCCTAATCGTAGACATTTTTTCAGTCAGGTTCAATGGATTTCTACCTCACATGAAGCAAGCAAATGATGACGGTTGGAGCAGAATAAGTAAATAAGAGAGCCATGGACAGTGAAGTAGGGATCTAAGTCTACTCAGCTTGATCATCAAAACTTTCTCAACATTGTTTAACAAGTAAACTAAGAAGGCTGACGCAAAAGGCATCTTTTGATGGGAAAAAGATCAGGCGATTTATAAAATGGAGGGATCAGGAATTGGGCAGATAGCTAGACCTGATCCTATCCGTATTAAATAAATTTTAATGGTAAATAATGGGTCGTCATGTACGAGAATCGGTGAGACAGAAGGCAAGAGGGGATGACAAAAGGGTTTAACTTAATACCTCTGCATAAAAAATCTTATCTGTTCGATTTTACCACACAAAAGGAGTTAATGTCACTTTTCTGCGGGGTCCTTTGACAAATCGGGTTTTCCCTTTATGCGTAAGTAATGTGTCTCACTAGTAGGCAATTAGTTTTCTCGGAGAAATGAATTTTTTTGTCATCCCTATTTTCTCATTCAATTTGCGCTCTCAAACAGTGGATGATAAAAGCGGTTGGAGTAGATTATTTTGATTAGGGGAAGGTATTTGAACGCTTCGTGAGAGAAGACAGCGACTGCACTTGGGGTTTGAACCCTCAGCTGGAAGATGTTAAGAGTAGAGAACTTCAACCTGTAGAAGAACGCCTGGGACTGTGCGAAAAGGTGATAAAGGCTAAAGCAGGGGGCTAGGTTTAATTCCTTCTTATTCGATACAGTCGGCGATCAAACACATTCCTCTCTCTAGCCCTGGCAGTGGACACTATCCTGCCTGTCGTTACCAAACTCATAATTGTAATAACAGAGGCAGGTTAACAAAGCCGAAGGATAAAAATTGATGCAGGAAACCAGACTTAAGCTCCTCTTGTCCTAGTCATTGGCCTCTATCTCGCTTCCCTTTGAGGTGTTCTTATCTCAAATGACGGGTCTTAGGAGGAAAGTGTCCACTACAGTTCAGAGGTTTCATTCTTTCAATGGCACACGCCAATCAGCGTCAAGTTGTGTAGGATGTATTTATAACACTGCTAAATACGCAACTTTACTGACACATGTTTTATTGTTTTAAACTCAACCAATCTGTTTGCATCACGGTTTAATGCAACCACTTATAATAAACTGACAAAGAACACGGCAAGTGTTTTTAATACCAGGCGTATTGTAGAAAAAGTGGGAAGCCATGCGTATGTGGTGCTAGTAGAGGAGACAGAGCAATTGGAGCCTCTGAGAAGAAGCGTTACCATTCCATTTACACCAACTTTACGTCTGGTTTGATGAAGGCGAATGAAACCAAAGGTCTTACTTAAAAGAGGGTTGGAGTAGAAAGGACAAATGGAGAATGCTAAGAGATGATTATTCTCTCTCCTAGGTCCGTCGTCGACGCCAACACGAGCAGGTATGGATAACGGGGTTTTCGTGAGTGAAGTCTACCGACGCAGCGCCAGCAGTGGTCGCGGAAGCAGTGAGGATAGCAGTGCCACCTGTGGCAGCAGTTTTGGCGGTGTCGGTGGTGGTAGCACCGAAGAGTGCCTCTTCAAACATCTCTTCCAGCCGCCGGCCAACGGGTGTGCTATCGATCGACCGGTATGTTCCATTCCTTGTCCGTTTCCTTCATAATTTATCCCCTCCACCTTCCAATTGGAAAGCATTACACCTCACCATGCCGCCTAACGTAGTTTCCACTGTATCCAACCCTTGATTAGTTATTCTGAAGTAGGATGAATTTCACTTCATTTCTGATTAAATGCTCCATTCTCAAGCGTCACATCCCCGCCTAGCTCCTGATTAGATACTCTGATGTGATTTGAATTTCCTCTACGACGGAAAGTTATTAATACTTCTCGCTCATATAGTTCTTATGCTTTAATATCTGCTTATATTCTCTGCTTATCATAAAGCAATTTTTTTCTGGGTTCTAGTTTTAAGACACTCTTCATATCGGCATTACCGGTGAAAATCCGTTTCCCATGGTGATCGGATACGTACTTCACTGTTCATATAATTTAATTTCACCCTCATTGTCGACTCCCACATTTTGGATTTTTGACAAGGATTTTTTAAGCATAGTAGACGATATTTTGCTGCTAGGAATTGTGAGCACTTGCACAGTTGTAGTTGATCTGCTCCTAGAGTAAAGTCACAGCGATTGCTCCAGATGTGTATGTGTCTTCCTTCCTTGAGTTTGACCTCAATAACGTTAGGTAACTTCTCTTAAGTCACATGTGTTGGATGCTCTTGTGTATCCCTTATCATTCCTATGCACACTTCATACCCTTCTTACCATACAATCATCTGATTTCTGATAAATTTATTGCACTGCCACCCCTCTCTAGATCCACCTTATCAGTCCACAACGTCCACACTAATTGGCTTCTGATTGACCGCTCCGGTGGGAAATAAATTCCATTGCATCCCCCATTCCTCTTTCAATGTTTGATATTAAAATCATCCGCTTGCTAAATTGATGGGTCTCTTTCTCGACTAATTGTTTCATCATTCTGTCCGTTTATCACAACGCTAGCTTCTAAAGTTTACTTTTCAATGCCAACCCTTTTGTTGAAGTTTACCTTCGAATTTGTTCCGATTAATTCACTTCGACGGAACGAATAAGAGCCAAGTGGATCCTGACCGTGCTCCAAGCACTGTTGCACCCTGTCGCTCATGGTTTTAGTGGGCTCATAATTCTCCTTTACTAGACAGTGGGCAAATTTTTTATCAACTTTGGCAAAACAATTCATTTCCATTATCCCATGCAGTGTTATTATCTATTTTTACCCACTTATGTCTGTGTATGTGTGCTTATTCAGACAACTTAATTGGTTGGCGCTTTCTGTGAAGTAGTTAACCAACTTACTACCCGGGCATATCGAGTGGCTTTTGCAGTTATCGTCATAAATCTAACACTTTATGGATAAAATTTAACTAAAGATTGACTTGTGATTTGACAACTTTATGTAGCACCATAGAAGACAAAATTATGCCTCTAATTTGCGGTCGCTGTTATGCTGTGACAGTTGATGATGCAGTGGAAGTAGTTTAGTTAAACTCCTGACACATCTGATATAGTGCTTCCATTTGTGGATAAAACTTGTTTTCTGTATAAATATTTTCTTGGCACTCTTTGTGAATTAGCTGCTGTCATTAACAAGCTACGCTTCCCCAGTCTGTGGCGTTGATTGATGTGATTTCTAAGGGGGAGGTCTGGTTTTATGGTGTGGTGTGTACCTCTAGACTTTTAATTCAACGAAGTTTCGCAATACCTTCCGACACTGGGGAGGGTCTACCGAAAATATGGAAAAAGTGTTTTGTAGCGTTTTCATTGGATAATGGACGCATACTGAACACAATATCCCCATATTTCGAGAAGTTGTACGCAATCGTCTGATTTTATGCATGTAATTAATGTATGTGTGTATACCCCCCTTTTGTCACGTACTGGACCCGCATTGCGCATTACAAGCATGTTTATGCCTTTGCGTGTGTATTTGTGCAGAAATTTCTTACGACAGTTTTTACACCCCTTCCGTGCGCACTCCCCACCTCTTTCGCCATTTCTCAGTGGGTTATTTGGATAACCGTTACCACACTACCACCGAACCATTGATTTGCTAGGAATTGGAAAATATCAAATGAGGCCGAGGATTTGAAGGCTTAAATTTATCTCTCAATTTGTCTCTGCAGGCATTTGTCAGGTTCTCAGTCTAGCTGGTACCTGAGAATTGGCTCTACGTGCTCTAGCAGGACTGCTCCCTCTCATGGATCATTTTTGGACCCAGGATCTGACGACAGAAATGTCCATGACTACTGTATTCGGGAGGACAGCTGTCTAGAGATAGCAATCCTCTTTGAGTCAAAGTTGTATCAGCTAGAATAAGTCATAAGTGGGAAGCTGCCTCTTCTCTCAACCCCAGAGGGCGGTAGCCCCAGAAAAATGGGCTTTTTGATAAGCCATTTGCAAGTTGTAATCGGCCCATGCTCTCTTTAAATTTCCTTTCTCATGCCTAACACAGCTGCTTTAGATCTCATATAAACAACGTTAAAAAAGCTTCTTTCGCCCCCACGGCTATCAACTGGTACCAGTTTATAGTCGTGTGCGGAATCTTCGTATCTTTCGTTAGCAAAAGACTTTTATCTCCCGGAGTCGCTTTCTCTTCACCCAAAAAAGGAAATGTAAAATCACCAATCCATTGTTGGTCGACAATTCGATCCCTTTCAGGCAGTCTGGGACGGCATTTGGATCTTGGAGAGAATTTGTAGGCCCTGAATCCAGCGACTTGCTCAGAAGTAATAGTTGATGCTTCAACAAGACTCAGTTTCTTGCTTATACAACAATCACGCCTTGGGATTGGCCAATTAGACCCATTTATTGCTACGGTTTGTGAGAATATACTACGCAGGGAAAAGTGGGCTTATCTTTTATGAAGCCTGAGCTATCCGAGTTGTAATTAAAGCCAATTCCTATCTCAATTCTTTCAATCGAGTTTTAGGTCTGCTTTCAATCTGATTGTCAGGCCGTTTACTGGCCAGAAACTTACACGGAACATTCCGCCTTTGCTGCTTTTTTTTACTATTCGGAACAATCAAGTCGGCGCGAGCAATTTATCGTGCTATGTAACTTTTTCTAACTGACAGGCTGGCTGCCATCGCATTTGTTCCGTTGGGGTGAGGGTGTTTGTTAAAATCGGAAATTCAACTAGTAAATGGAAACCTATAATCCTCTTTAAAGTAGGACAAAATCCTTTAGGGTGAAATTTGGTTTGGTCCATAAGAATGCCTTCCCACGCACTGTATCCCCTACGGCAATTCGGTTTGGAGGATGTGAAAAAGCCCGATTCTAGTCCAACTTTCTGCTTAATTACATCCCTCAGAGAAGCTCTGAGAGGATTTCAAATCCCCCTTCTCATTAAATATTTTCTCTTTTTCTGTTCCTGCAAATTAATTTTTGTCCTTTTTAAGAGCAGTAGTCTGTTGGTGATGTTTTTTTGTCGATCGAGTCGCCTTCTTCTGTTTTCCGCCACTTTGGGTCGCTTTTCTTTCCGTCTTTTACTGTCAGGTCACTATCATGACCTCACACTTGTACAGGAGTGCCTTGGTTTTCTACCAGTATGTTGTTATTGGTCGCTTCTGAACGACGGTAAACAAATTTACCAGACCAAGGCGTTTTTGGCCTGTCAGCTAAAGACTTCAACATGTGCATGGTATCAACCTCGATGTGCCTTAGTGCCTTGACTTGTATTAGTCACGGCATCCCCTATGATAGACATTACTTATAAAAAAAGTTTAGAGAAGAGCTGTGAGGTTGAACACCAGCGCACCGAGCCTTTCCTGAAGCAGAAAGAAGTCATAATACTAGAGCGGAATATGTGTTACAGACGTACAGAGGGGCTGAAGGGCTACTAGCATGGCCCAAAGGCCTTAAGTGACCAAAAAACAAAACGAGGAGTTAAATAGTCAAAATATTACAAAGGCCTCATAATCACAAAAATTTTAAGTCCTGAAGGATGATGAAGAGCAGAGTTTTGCTTAGGGGTCGTCGTCCAAGCACCCTTGAGGAGAGCTTGAAAACCGTCTCTAATTCGTGGTCGTAGGCAGACAGTGTAACTCTTTGATAATTACCTAGACTGGTACAGATTCAAATTCCATATCGATGTCTGATCGTCGAGGTTGGTCTTGTTCCTTTGGAAGGTCGAAGGCTGTCTTTCCACAGACGGACAGATAGGCGCTCTTTACTTTTTATACTCATGTTAGCTGCAATTGCAAACTGAAAAAAATTGCATTTCCATTCAGGCCTGAAGTTTTAATGGTGAATGTGGGAAAGGACGCCGCGTTCTTTCACAGCTCAAAATATCTGCCTTTTGCAAAAGATTTATTCTCAAACAGCTCCTATGTTTCGCATCTCGAGACTTTCGTCCTCTCACAGACATTGTTTACGCAGCATGGCGCCGATATTTTTGCGTGGGAAGCCTTTCATTGCTAGAGTTGTGAAAAGAGGTAACGTTTATTTTTGGTTTGGTGCGCTTGCTTCTTTGTAAAAGGTTCACCCTCAAATTGGTGACTCATTCTACATCCAAAAAGTTTTGCTTTCCTTTGTGATGCACGTATTCCTACGGTCTTTGTTCATAAATACCTTTGGCTAGCCACTACTGAGCCCTAGAGCCTTTACGAGCGGCAGCAGAGGTTTCATGAAACATGTAAAACTACCCATAAGCAATCTAATCGACCCAGGACTTGACAACTAATTTTCCTTTATTTCACAGAAGAAGCATTTTAAGCAGAGGTTTGAGATGAAAAAGATAAGCCGTTTTGTTGTCTATTGAGGATCCAAAGCCTTCACGTCAAGCCTGAGAAAGAAGGTGACATCAAATTAGCTGGAATAGTAACCGTCTGCTTCGTCATCTTTTCTTAAAGATTATGCTTGTACCTTAACAATGTCGGCTTTTTCTGTGTGTTTTAGGACGAGGTGCCACACGCCTCCACTCTCCCACGTCGCCGTGGGACGTCCACGTCCGCACTTCCACCGACGGCCTCGGACAGCAGTAGCAGTGGTGGTGGCGGTAGTAGTAGCAGCAACATTAGTACGAACAACCGACCGCGTCTTCCCCCCTCTACAGCCCCACTACCCCTCCTCCTTCAACCGCCCTCACCTCAGACCACCCGTCGTCGCTTTCCCGCACCTCTCCCTACCGCCACCCGGCGTGGCAGTCCCCCTATCCAACGACCTCCGCCTGTAGCGTCTCGACCCGAGCAGACAAAATCCATTGTGAGTTGGGACTCATTAATGCTGCGGTGCTCGACTTCTCTCTGAAACCTTGTCAGGGTACATGGATCTGGATATAGCTATGTTGTAAACGTACAATAAGGAACACTGAGCCACAAAAGCTTGCTTAAACTGAACAGTTTCCTTCCTTTTGAGCGCAGTCACTCTTCTGCTATGCCTACCACAATGTGGTCGGTGTTTTACAGTTCTCAGGGACAATAATTAAATACTGATTTTCAATCAAGACGGGAAAGTATTTCATTCCAACGGCGATAGTGCCTTTCGTAGATTTCAGTGGGCCTAGAGCTACCATCTTATTTGTGTACTGCTTTGCGGGAAGTCAGCGGCTTTGTACCGCTGTACAGGAAGAGCACCTCGTATGCTATTCGCTATTCGTCGAAACGTTTGCCTAAAAACAGCCATTCAATAGTTTAATGGAGCTAATAATGTGAATCCATTCCTCCTTGCCACCTTGTTCTAGTCTCAATGTCTCCCAGCCGTCTACCTGGGTTCCAGGATGGCTGGCAGAAATGTAGATAGGGTGTCTTTTATTCACATAACTCACGTATTTTCACGGAAGTACCGTAGACAGCTCTGTGGTGAAGGTTTTCAAATCGTTCAAGTCTCGTATCACCTCAGTTGTCAACTGTTTTATGCCACTATACGAAGTTGAAACTGTGGACGTAGAGTTAATAATTCTTACGGTGTGAGTATTTGTAAACTCATCTGTCTACGTGACGCTGAATTTGGATAGCCAACCAGGAAAATCAGGGGAAGCAAATTTAACTCAATAGGGAATCCCTATTCCTCGATTCTCCTCACCATCTGCTGCGAATTTTAAAGGGCGTTAAATGGTACCACCATGCTTCTTATGCCTGTGCCAGGCGTATCGTGTTTACGACTTTCTATGAGGCGACGGGTGTGCTTTGTGCACACACCTTAATTGTACCTCTTCTCGCATACATCAAAGGGAAACGATATTCTGTCATCCGTTTAATGTGCCAGGATTATAAATTCATCTTAGTAGCCAGTCACACCTGGATTGATTGGAAAGTCGGAAGATTGCCGTATTAGTGTGCCTGGTACAGAGCTCTCGGAGCATCCAACCGACCACAGTTACAACTTCGAGACACGACGAGCTATAAACCCTGGAACTGCTTCGGAAGAATAACAGCCTAGTGTGAATAATGGATCCTAATTCATGGCCACTTTAAGTTCCGTAGTGTCCAAGTATGAACGCAAGAGCTCTTAGAAGTTGCACCTCAACAATCAAGACGTTCTTGTAGAGACCGCAAGGGAAATTGACCATGTAGAAACTGGCAAAAATATGAATAGTTCTTGATCTTCTTCTTGGTAAAAAGGTTCTTTTTTGTATTGAAAGGCTTGCACAACTCCGTGCGATCCCCCTATGCTTGCTTTGACATCCAAGTCTGCTTGGATTCGCAGTTTTCCTGGTTGTGTCTAAGCCCGTCTTCCGGTTTATTGAATTC